GGGTGGAGTCTATACCAGTTGGAGATATTAGCTCTGGCTAGCTGATCTTCCTCCACTTCTCACTAGCAGTCTCGATTCTGCTTATCATGCTTGATGGCTGCCCTTCCCTGCAACTCCTCCTCTGTATGTCAGTCCTTAGGTTCATCACATACTGGCTGTGGCTCACTGCACTGTCTATGCTCCTCTTATCTGATAGCTTCATCATAGTTGAAGGGAACAGTGAAGTCCCAGATGGAGAAGTAGTGATAGATGGTTTTTTTTTATACCTGTTGTTATTGCTCTTCATTGTTCTAGAGGATCCTTCCCACCCTTAAACTGGTTCTGATCTAAGGCTGGGAGCTGTGAGGCTGGCTTCAAGAAGTTGGGAGTCAGAATTGTCAAGCCATCTGAGGGGCATCGAGAGAGTCTCAGGCATGGTCGGCAATCCTATGAGTGTAGGAGGCAGAAGAGAGATCAGAGGAGGGAGACTGTTTAAAAAAGTCCTCCAAAAGGTCCTGGTCTTCACCATAAAGGACTGCATCTGGTATAAAGATTCCATGTCCTCCTGAGACATGAGAGTGCTGGTTTCCAAGTCGAGAGAAGCGCTGTTCTCTTGTTTCTTCTTGACCATCCCCTTGATGTGAGCTGCTAGACCTGGCTTCTGGGGGCTGATAGGTTGTTCTTTGGGATTCTGAGATATCATAGAGAGAGAGATCAGAGATTACATTTCATAGTATAGTCTGAATATGCTGAAACTCCTGATAATGTCTGAGAGCCCAGGCAGTAATAGAATGGCATCTTTGGCATAGCTGAATAATCACTAGTAGTCTGATCAATATTCCAACAATAGAGGCGAGGAGTTCAAAGAACTCATGATCGAAGTCAGGGTTGTTGTTGTTGGAGAGGAGCATTCAGCTTCTCAGCATAGTTGAGCTTGAGAAGGGAAACAAGAAAGCTTCAAGCTAATTGTTAGGCCCAAGCATCACATGAACCAATACATATGATAAACAGATATCTCTTCACACTTCAAGGGATCAGCTGAGTTCACTGGTGTATGCTTATATCGATATGTCATAAGGTTAATGATTGACTTAAGATAGAATAGTGGTTATAAACTTTAGCTTGAAGCTGGGGTTTCCAGTGAGAGTGAGCCCTCCTTAAATATTGTATATGGTTTGCTATTAATACTACATACTTATTGTGTATACCTCTGTCCTGAGTGCTCATTGTCCTTGGTCATCATTACCATACATAAAAGGTTGATTGTGCATTTATCGCTGGACATCAGTCACATTGGAAAACCATAGTGAAGTTGGCTTGTTGTGATGACTAAGCTTTTTCCACAGCTTTTAAGTGCTTGTTCTTGACACCTTGACTAAGCATAAATAGGAGTATCATAGTTGAAAAAGAGGAAGAAAAGAAAAAATCATAACAGCAGTATAATAGCATCTATTAGTAATATGCTTATAAGATTGGGCCAGTCTAAAAATAGAGAGCATTACCATTCAGTTAGTGGCCTGAGAAATAAATAAAGGAAATTATTATCCATAATAGAGCTTCTTTGTGAGGCTGCTTCTTTTCAGACAATAACACTATCTTACACAGTGAAGCCCAATCAGTCTATCTTAGGATCATCCCACATTGGTTCTTTTCCACTTCCAGTGGCTTTATCAGATAAGGGCTATGCTTCTAAAACTCTACTTCCTCTGCTGATCCAGGGATTCTGATACAAATTTGATGAATTGGTTGACTAAGGTTAGGACCTAGACAGCCAGATTGCTACAGAATGGAAAGAGAGGATAGAGTATGAAAATGTACTCCAGATTGATGGGGCTATATACACAGCTCATTTCAGGGTGATAGGAGGTGACCAAGGTATTGGTTGTATGGGTTACAGCATTTGGTATGCCAGTGATCTGCTGATCTAGTCTTCTAAATGATTCTTGTTGTATTATATGGCAGCATAGTCTGTTGCCACATGTTGTAGAATCTCTGTTTGTTTATTAGATTCAGAATTCAAATATAATTGTCCTATTTATGACACCAACCAGTTGGTATCACACTATAGAAAGTTTACCTCTCTCTTGTACAACTCCTAGTACTCTCTGGTTCTTGCTCATTGAATTTTTTCCTCTAATGCTTCCTCATTCATATCTTCAACCAGTGCATAGAAATGTTCTTCTTTGGCACATGACAGATCACTGCTTTCAGTTGCCTTATCATCCTCAGGCTCATCATCCCTTTTCTCCTCAAGGAGGGAACTAGTGGGCAGGTCAAAGAAACTCTCCTCTATATCTGACAGTTGTACCGTCATTGCTGACCCACTGCTCTGGCTGGGTGCTGGGCCCAGCAATGGGGCCTGAAAAGTTAGATGCATTGAGGTAGGTGAAAGTGAGCTGGCTTCTAATATCAGAGTCATACCAGTTTCCTCCTGCTGCTTGCACCACTACCACTCTCTTACAATAGAGGCAGACATTTTTTCAGTACCTATTATTAAGGAGTTGCCTGACCACTTAACTCCTGAGAAAGCCTTAGAGAGCATGAGCAGAGATGTGAGTATTGTTAGGTACTCATAGTCCATAGTGCCTAAGGACAGACTCATCATCCTTGAATGTAGTGTTGATACTAGAGGTTTGTCAGAGAGGGAGATACTGGAGAGTTGGAGGACAAGAGGAGGCTCTTGGGACATCATCCTAAGCTAGAGAAGAGATTCTATCACTTCTTGCTTGAGCTTCATCTGTAGTAAGAGTTTCTGCATTGGCCTAGTGCTCTGATGTCTATGGGTCAGATTCAGTTGTACTGGATTCTCTAAAAATTGGAGTTGAAAGAAATCGATCAGCTTATACTAGTGCAAGTACTGATGTGACCTCTGGTTAAAGTCTGTACCAGTTCAAGATGTTTGCTCTTTCCAGTTGAGCCCTCTCAATGTTCCACTGCTCTTCTCAATGCTACTGATCATACTCAGTGGCTTCAACAGCCCATCTCTTTCTAGCAATGATCCACTCCTCAAGCTCACTTCAGGCTTGTAGAGAGGCATCTTGTTATCTCTGTTTCTCCTGTCTGAGAGCTTGGTTATAGTTAAAGGGAACATTGAGGTCCTATGTAGAGAATAGATAGTGTATAATTTTGTTTCTATTTTTTTAGATCTGCCACTCCTCATTAAGCCTATTTGAGAGTGCCTGCTCCATTCTAGCACTGGTTCTGATAGAGTTGTGAATTGAGGGGCTGTGAGACTATTCTTTAGATAATGTCAGACAGAGTCTTAAAGCCATCTGAGTGAGACTGAGAGAATCTCTAGCACAGTCAGCAACTCTATAGATTTGAGAGACACTAAAAGAGTCAGAAGAGAGAGACTGCTGAAAAAAGTCCTCTGAGAGGTCTTCATTTTTTTGATTAGGGATGGAGATCAGAAACTATAGGTTTCAGAATCCTGCAACCCAATAGTTTTCTGATTTGAGTCAAGAGAGATATTTATATCTTTCTTCTTCTTGATTGCCTCTCTGATACAGACTGCTAGGCCCAGCTTCTGATAGAGGGCTGGTTGGAGGCTGGTAGGACATTCTTCTAGAGTTAAGAATATTATATAAGAGGAGATCAAGGATTATGTTTCATAGAATATATCTGATATGCTAAAATTCTTAGTAATAATAGATTGTCCAAGCAGTAATTGAGTGATGTCCCTGGCACAGCTGGATGATCACAAGTAGATCTAAAAGAGTTCTGACAATAGAGGCTAAGAGTTTAAAGAACTCTCAATCAAAGTTCAGATCAGTAGAGTTTAGAGCTGGCATTCAGTTTTTTAGCATAATTGGACTTGAAAAAGAGAAGCTAGAAGCTTCAAGCTAATTGTTAGATCTAAGTATTATATAAGCAGAAACACATGATAAACAGAAGCTGTCTTGCACTTCTGGATCAGTGTGTTACAAGACTAAGTGAATCAGCTTGAGAGTAGAATAGTATAAAGATAAACTTTAGCTCAAAGCTGAAGTTTCCAGCAAGAGCAAGCTGTCTTAAATACTGTACAAGTCCTGCTAATAATACTACTACCTATTATATATTTCTGAATCCATTGTGTTCATTGTTCTGAAGCATCATCACTGTATACAAAAGGATGATTGTGCATCATTAGTTATGCTGTTACATTGAAAGACAGTGATAGACTCAGCTAGTTGTGATAACTAAGCCTTGTCCCATGGTCTTAAGCACTTGTGTTAGTACTCTGACTAAGCATAAATAGGAGTTAATTATAAAAGAAAATAGAAAAATCATAACAGCTTCTGCATACCAATACTATATGCCTTTTATATCTCTCTCATTTGATCTGTATGATAGAGAGTGTGACAAAAAGAAAGAGAGAATAAAAGGAGTTACCATCTCCTAAATAGGCCTATCACCTTTTGATATAGCTCTTTCTGATACATATACCTTCATTTTATCTACTTACAAAGCTGATATATTCTTTGATAGCAATAAAATTATCATTCTCTCCTCCAATAATCTGAATATTAACCTCTTCTTTATTTTTATCAACTATCTTAACTATTATGATCAAACTTTTCCTTTTCATCCAGCTCTTTGGGTCACTTTCTATAGTTCTATTCTCATACATATCTGGTTTATCAGATGTCTGCAAACATATTTTTCTTATCATGGCTTTGTCAGCCAGTCTATACCAAGGATTGTATCCTAGCCCATATAATTCTGAGATTGCTGGTCTATGGATACATTCACAATTTATATTTATAAAAACTCTGTCTTTTTACAAGCACTCATTAACTTCTGCATTTAATTGTATTTTCTTTTGCTTTCATCTTTTTTCTCTCATCTTCTTCTGTTTACTCTTTAGTGCCCAAACATAGTCAGCATGAAGGTTATAATATTAGTCCACCTCTGTGGTATTTTTTTTTTTTTCAGTAAACTGACTTCAGTTATGCACTTCAGCCAATTACACTACTTTGAATAGTATTATCATGCGGCTATTATTTAAATAATTATGAAATAACCCAAAATTAAATAACTAAAACCCCCAGCGGGACTCGAACCCGCAACCTCCAGATTGATTATCTAAACGCTCGATAGAAGTCTGACGTCATAACCATTAGACAATGGGGGCACTCATGTTATCTCTCATATGATATTAGCAAAATGGGCTGGAAACCGATAGCCGAGATCTGGTATTCCACGGCATTCGCGCGGGTTCCCTTCTGCTGCTCACCTCCAGTCTTCCACGTTCAAATGCACATACAGACGAAGCTTGAGCAATGAGGATGTTCGTAACTTCGTAAGGGAAGGAATCTGAGACCCTGGAACTTCTACTGCTGGATCTTCGTATCCTCGCTAGTACGAGCGCCTATCAAATGTGGTTACAACGCCAAGCTACAGCATTATTGAATACCCTCTTGTCGATGTACGCGCACTATGGCTGCAACCAAGGTGCAATTCTTTCAATCACTGGGGATCGAAGGGACCAAAGGCTTGAAATCCAATGCTAGCTATGTCTTCGAGTCTCGCTTCAGCGGCCGACCAAGCGTTCTGTCTCCCCAACATCTCAGGCAGACCCACTACCTATGAACTCATCGCCTACCTTGACGTCATTGATCCTGAAAACCTTCGTTTAAGGAAGGAGATGTGACTGGGAGCCAGCTTCTACGTACAAGAAGATAGATTGCTGTTGAGCGGTCTGTCTTTACTTGCCGCGGTCAAAACTCCTCGCCAAAGTATACATAGGTAGCCACATGTCTTGATCTCAATTATCAGGGAAGTTCTTGATGAAATTCGAGTAATGTTCCACCTTTCTATGCACCCTAATGTGGCAACTCTTTTGGGCGTAGTGCTTGAGAAAAGTGGAGGAGAGCGACTGCTTCCTAGAGAGAAGTCCATCGGTTCCCTTGACGGTCTCCGGAAGAAGGCAGAAACCGATTTCCTAGGAATTTGAAGATTCGGTTCTATTTGGAAATAACCGCAAGCGTTAAAGCTCTCCATCTCATCGAAATCCTTCACGCAGATGTCAAATCTGACAATATTCTCATTCCTGACGACTGAAAATTGAGATGGTAACCGTCTTCCAATGTTGACTGCGAAGGTTTCCGTTTTCGGATTCTGCGTGCCCGATACGACTGCACGGGAACGGGTCGCATCAAGAGGGACTCTGCGGTTCAAAGCACCAGTGGTCCTATGCGATTCCCCTCCATTGTTGCTCCAGTATGCTAATCTGCCTCAAAGAGATCTCTATTCTTTTGGAGTTCTCGTGTGCGAGGTTATCAATGATGGCAACCTCCCTTCTTCGACTGTTCGTGACGTCGACATTCCAAGTCTTTAGCTTTCCTCTAAGATGGAACGGCTAACCTTCTTATCTAGAGCAGCTCCAAAGAAGCTGAAGGCTTCACCACGATTATCCGTGGTACTATCCTCAGGGATCCTACAGAAAGGTTGGCTTGGCAAGAAGTCTCCGTCTCATTGACTTGGTAGCCCAGAGCCATGCGCATGTCTGAGCACGTTGCGTTGTAGTGGGACTTCGCCAATGCTATCTAGTTTCCCCCAGGCAGATTCCTAACCTCTTCGCGACATCAGTGATCATTTTATGGCTGTAATATCATACACTTTACCGTTTGGATTCGAGTGCTTTTCTAAACCTTTTGAAATAGATTTATGTAGTTAAATTGCAGAAACTTTCTAATGGTAGGCTCCGATGGCGCCATACACCGTCAGTTGAGAAGCTGCGGCTAAATTGCACGGGTCGGTAAAATCGGCCCGGACTCCTTTTGTCGCCTCTTGCCCACGTACTCGAACTTGCAATGTCGACCGCGCAAGCTCCTGCGGTTGTTCCAGCCACCGGCGGCGCCCAGCAAGAAGAAACAGGCTTCCGTAAGTTCTTTGGATTCGCTCAGGTGCGCATTGAGTGATTTCTGCTCGAGCCGGTAACGAGGCCTGTTTTCCAGCAAATATTCATCTTTTGGGCTATCACGCAAATTGGTATGCAAAAAAATCATCTTGGCTGTCGGATTCCTATTTACGGACTGTAGCCACGAAGTTTTTTGCGCCAAAGACAGCTGGTCCAGATACAGCGGTATCTACTGGAGGAAAGCAGGCCGTCAATACGAATCCTGTAGATCCATGGAGTCAACTCCCAACGCATGCATCTTTGGCGTGGCCTCTCGGCGAAACATATTCCATGCACGTGTACTTTACTACGGCCCCACATACGGATGTCTTCACGAAGCAATGGCGCAACACTAACAAGGAAGACAATCTGCCACATTTCGTGTGGGATAATATCAAGTTTGGAGACTATAATGACCATCGGTCCGTGGAGTATACCATTGACTTCCCGGATGTGCGTGGCTGGCTTGGTTTTGACCTTGTCTAATCATTATCGTAGGTCGTCAAGAACAATGGCTCCCTATGGGCGGATATCTTCTTGCTGAAGAATGGGGCAACTTTGGATCCCTCGAATAGCTTTTTTGACGCGGGAAACATCCACCATGTTCGAAAACGTGCGTATGTTTGCTATGCATGAGAAATCTTAATTAAATTTTCTTAGTGCTCACGCCATATTTTCCTCGGGAAAAGGTTCGCAAGGAGAAGAACCTTTTGAGTGGCGAGACAGCTGTCGAGGAAGAGGCCGAAGAAGTGGATGTTATTGTCCCACATTGGCATAGTGTCAGTTTGAGTCTGTTCTCGCCAGCAAAACTCTCATCCCTCGGCAGAACATAACCCTTGCTCTCATTTCGGATCCCGCTGTTCTTCCTTACTCTTCGCTTCCCCCACCAATTCTTGAGCGTAAGTTATATCATCTTTTGGTTGGCTTTTAGTGACATGTAGTTGCATTTCAGACATACACCTCGTGCCCAACGTGAGAGATGAAACTGGAACAAAAGGTCAAAGCCCTTCTTCTAGTTCATATACAACGATTTCGAACCTACCTTAGGTCTCTACAAGCCCATCATTTTCCCCAATGAATTTTGGCACCTACGAAGTCACTATGTTGAGGTGAACAGTAGCACCGAGGCGCTGCCAGTCCAAGTTGTTTTCCAGCCTATGTCGTACATGAAATTCCAGCTATTCGCCACTATGACGCAGGGATTCAAGGACGCTGAGAAGCAACAAGGTACATCGGCCAGCGCGGAAATCGACGAAATCAAGCGAATGTTGCTAGAGACAAATCCTTGGTTCCTCGGATTGACCGGCCTAGTCAGCGTGCTTCATGTACTGTGGGTGTTCCCCTTTCTTGAGGCTTATGGCGCGATTCCTGATTAGTGCAGATTCGAGATGCTTGCCTTCAAATCCGACGTTTCTCATTGGCGGCAGAAGAAGGAGATGGTTGGAGTCTCTGTTAGGTATTTCGCTTCCATCTAGACCTTCACATCTGGGCTCTGGTAGTCTTTCTTTGCGCGTGAAATCCCCCGATTTACATCGTCTGCGATGATGAGCTTATCATTTGGATAGCTCCGCAGGCTTCCGCGAGAAGCTTTGGTCGTCCAGAGTGAAGTTTGATGCAGGGTACTGACTCCTGCCTAGAACTATTGTCACGAACGTCTTTGTCCAAATTGTCATCTTGTTATACCTCATCGACAACAACGAGAACACCAGCTGGATGATTCTCTTTGGTTCCGGTATGGGTGTGCTGATCGAAGCTTGGAAGGTGAGATATAGAGTGTTTTATCAACAAACTCTGACGCCTTCGTACAGATAACAAAAGCCGTGGATATATCTTTAGTATCCGCCCCAACAGGTTCCTTGATCCCATACAAGCTCGATATCAAAGACAAGCATGTTCTCAGCGAAGATGAGAAGAAGACTCAAGAGTGAGAAGTTTTTTTGATTTCGGAAACATCTTAATTGCCTTATACCCGATGCACCTTTGCGGCCGGTGTCCTATTTGAGATCGATCATGACGGGTCCTGCCTTTTTATTTGGGTTTCCTAGCCGGCAGTCGAGTTGTTGAAGTGATGATGCAGATTGAAAAGGCAGGATGTGTTGGCGATCAGCCGCGGTGTTAACGCCTTGCGCCACTCTTTCCCATATCTAATGCTAAATTGTCTGCTCACTTGTTCTGCAGGTACGATAAATTGGCGTTTCGTTATGTCTCATATGCAGCGATTCCGCTTCTCGCTGCGTACACCGTGTACTCCCTGGTCTACAACACGCACAAAGGATGGTACAGCTTTGTCATTTCGACCCTGACGTCCTTCGTGTACATGTTCGGATTCGTATGTAACGGATGCTCTGATGCTTTTACACTTTTGACTCCCTCGGCAGGCTCAACTGGTCCCTCAGCTGATTATCAACTACAAACTCAAGGTGGGATCCATTCCCTGCTCACCTGCTGATGCTGACCCGCTGGTAGAGCGTTGCCCATATGCCCATGAAGTCGATGATCTATAAGACTCTTTCGACCGTCGTCGATGATCTATTTGCGTACGTCCCGAACGCCCAGGACCCGTTCTCGATGCTGATGTCCGTTTGTGGCAAGGTTTTGCATCAAGATGCCGTTTTTGCACCGGCTAGCATGTTTCCGAGACGATGTGGTATTTCTGATCTTCCTATACCAAGTGAGTCACCATCTGACCGGCGACTTGGGGGACTGAACTCTATTTCCAGCGGTGGATATACCGAATTGATCCCAAGCGAGTGAATGAATATGGGCAGGTCATGGTCGAGGAGGCGGATGCAGCGAGCAAGGAGTCGAAGAAAACTCGCTAGACTGATTGAAGGCGGTCTGTTATATACTTAATAGTTGTGTAAATAGAGAAGCGAACACGACGTACTCGGAGCTATCATCAGTAGCGTAGCCTGAGAGCTGTGCAATATGACTCGGCGAAGAGCGAGGCCGTGACCCGTTATATCCACGATTCAAACCAAATCAGTCCGTTGTTGACGCCCACCTTCATCCACCTCGCGCTTCTCCGCTGTATCCTGCGATGGCGGCAGAGACTTCGCGCAAGAAAAAATCCCGTTTCGCTTGCAAATGTCTCAATGTACAAATCAAGGCTTCGAAACCGGTCGGGCCAGTGCCTGCGGAGCTTGCGACGGAGCCAGGATTTGCCCAAGTGTATGTGAAGCACGACGGGATTTCGGCGGTAAGCTCGCTGTTCCTGTGGAACTGGCCGTCGTTCACGCTACTTGTCGCAGGCGCACCCGCAACTGACGTTGAGGATCCGTTCTCGTGGCACACCAATTGAGGGATCGTCGCGGTTCGCTCAATTCATGTCTTTGGGCTGCCTCGTTTGCCGGACACTTGTATATCGTGCCTTTACTTCTGCTCCGTTGCTGATGAACTCGTATGCAAACTTGGCCACTCGAGAAGGGCCTGTTATACCAAAGTCGGGATGGGTGGAGGATGATGTGCTCAGGACGCCGTCAGGATGGATCGAAGTCTTTGAAGGAGCACTGGTGAGTCTCATTCTTGGGCGCATTTTGTTTGCCTTGTCTGCAGGCGCCACGCGTCTTTTTTTTTTTCGCGGTGGCGTACTAGAGCTGACTTCTTCCTAATTGTAGACCGAAGCTGACATATCGCTCCAAGAAGAGTCGCCGCAGTATTCTCCTCTATTCTCTCTTGTTCTTCCCCCCATTGTCGCGCCGTCGTTCCCAAAGTCTCCAACCCTGTCACCACCGCCAACAGGTCTTCATTATCTCAAAGACTTGGAGCCGATGTATTCCTCAAATCCTGCTACTTCCGATCCTGTCTTCCTTCGCCTCTCAAATATAGCCGCCACTCAGTCTGAACAGCTCCGACTAAAGGCAGAGCAAGATGTCAATGAGATCGTCAATGTCAAGATCGCACAGTTGCTTCAAGCCGAAGATGAACTCAAGGCGCAAGTCCAGGTTCTCGTAGACACATATAGAGAAGGTTTACGTGTTGCGGAAGAAGAAGGTAACCCAAAGTCACCCACACTTCGGTCGTGGAAAGAGGCAAGCTCCGGTGATTCCAACGGAGCTACTGTTTCTGTACGAGACTTTGTTCCTGTGGAAGTACCTGCAACAAGTACCTCGCGGTCACCACCCGCTCCTCGTGTTTCGACGCTTTCGGCATCTCTTGCCACTTCGTCATTTCACCACCCCCGGGCAATCAAGGATCAGGCTCCCCATGACGGACTCCCTTCGTCTATCGGGTCTTCAATCACTCTCACGTCCGAGAAATCCCACCTGCATAATGAAGAAGGCGTCACAGTGCTCCAATTTCGCAGAAATCTTGATGATGGTCTCAACACCGCAGCCAGCTACAGGTATTTTGTTAATCTTGAAGAGGAAATGGCGCGACATCGCAAGGAAACCGGCAAGCAGCCGCAAAGCACAAGTGATAGTGCACAGGTTGCACCCGGCGATCCCGAAGCTTCGCGGTCGACGCCCAGTTCCAAAGGTAAAGAACGGGAGTCTCCAGGTGGTGGAGAACGACCACCATCATTAAAGCCTAAGCGAAGGGTGACTTTTGATGTCCAATCGGAGGAGAGATCTAGTGCGACCGGGGATGCCCCTCAATCTCACGCCAATACAGGTTTGTGGATCTCCATATGTCATGGCGCCTACTGCTAATGTCTTATCTAGATATGGTCTTCGACCTTGAAGAGGAAGAAGGAGGAGAACGTCCTGTCGAAGTGAGGCCTGTACTGCCTTTGATTGAACAAACCGCGCCTGCTCGACCAAACCGACCCCGTTCACACAGACAACAGCCTGAGATAGCCAGTTCGTTGTCATCATTCCGGCCTTTATCTCTACTATCTTCCTCTCACCGCGGGTCTCCCAACGGCCTATCTTCATCCCCCCTTGCCTCGTCTAGCACGTCGAGAGTAGAACGGCCGTCACCACTTCGGACGGCAATGTCGTTACCTGACGAGGATCCGTCCGTCGCACGTGAATCTGCTAGTTCGCCGAGGCGGTCAGCCCTGTCGTCACGGAAAGTATCTGAAATACGGGAGGTACCTCACGACAATGCCATTGACATCATTCGACACACAACTATTGAAGGTAGTCTTCAAGAGCAGATGGACGGGCACCAACAGCGACACGATGAAGAGATAATGCGGCTTTTGGCGGCTGGGACACCTAGTCATCGCGCAGCGTGGAGTAACGGTGGAAAGGCTTGGGGGCAATTCTTGCATCGTGGACGAGAGCGAATGTTTGATTCAGATGCCCTGGCGGAAGACGATTATGAAGTTGATAAGAGGCGCGAGCATATCAATGACCACTATGAAGAAGGTAATTTCTGGTGCATTCTCTATTGTTTTCTCATTGGCTGACTTGATGATCAGTATTGGATGCAACGCGAAATGGCGTACCGGGCTCGTTACCCGTTCGAATAAAACCTCTCGTGAAACCGCGAGAGGTTCTCAGCTTGGCATCATATAAGCCTCAAATGATTGGCGCTAGGGAATGATATGGATGTCCCCTTCCTTTTTTTTTTGGTTCAGCTATCCTCGCTTTCTTTGCACGTTTTGAACACATACTGAAAGGGCAGAGGTATTGCATATACAATCTAATCGTCTAATATACCACTGTAATAATCACTGTATATGTAGAGGCTATGAGTACCATTACCGGCCCGATTGCTCTGCCACCGAATTATAATAATTGCGGACTTGCGAGATATCAAAAATACTTGAAGTATAATAAGATTCAAAATAAGTTTACATGTACAAAAATAAGTTCATGAGTGTACAATGTTATGTACCACATTCAGTTCTTTCTTACGAGTGGTCATCCGCTACGGTTTGACTGGCAGAGCGCGTTTTAGCACCCTCCGCCTTTCTCAACTTGGCGACTTCCTTGCCGATATCGTTAGTGATGATTTTGTGCAGTTCGGGATTGTATCCTAGTTTGTAGAGGATCTCCAGATGTACGAAGAAAGGAGCGAGAACGGCAGCTGGCATAAAGATATCTAGTCATCCATTATAGCCAAGCAAAATAAAAAGACATACCACCCAAAAGGTTATCCAGGAGCGCAGGAGCGCGTTTTTCCGCGACACCATGCCCGAGGAACTGGGCGATCCAGCAGAGCACATGTAAAGTCAAAGCGATAGCCATATGATCTGGTCGCTCGGAGAATTTCATGGCTGACAAAAAACAAAGCGTCATTTGAGGGGTGTATATGAACTGTTGGAAGCACGATATGACTAAGGATACAGAAGTGGCGAGAATATCGGGCGCACCGCAGCCGTGGGTTCCAGGATGTAGTAGTAGAGCAAGTTCACGACAGCCCAGATGGTGGAGAAGTTGAGATCGAATGCGAGGTATTTGTTGATCGCGAAGTGGATGTTGGGCAGCCATGTCGGTAGGACGTGGGTGCCCATGACTAGACCAGTCCTGTGGAGTGATTCTATGGGCTGAGAAGACGGGATAAACGCGGCGTACTTACCACAAAATCATCGGCACGCATATTATATGAATCGTGACATTGACGGGATTAGTGTGGTAGGAGCCGTAGAACGTGAACTGAAGATGGTAAGACAACGAACAATGAGGGGGAGGATGCTTACTTGTTTCCTAATATTAAACAATGCAGAGACCATGATGGCGGTAGTCAGGGAAGGGAGGCGGAGGAACTTGCTTGTGCTGTGTGGATGGGACCTTTTATCTCCCGGGTCGGGTCTGGACCGTTACCTGCCTCCCATTCATAACTCACGAGGTTTCGGAAATCGCCTAGAATAATGTGGGTTTCCTAGCTAGATAATATACATGAAGTGCTTGATCAGAAGGTCACCGAGTCCAGGAATTCAGGAGCAGATTGCTCTGTTGTCATAACGGGTAATGAGAAACGAAGGCTCGGATGCTATCGCCAAAGGAATCATGACGAAAGGTCCAAGAAGGGATCGAAAGACCTTTGAGTCACCGGATTTCATCTAGGAGAAACGCTTTCGGGCATCGGAATCTGACTGTAGCAGCTGACATGGTTGGCCTAATAGTAGTACTAGTTTCGCCATGCCAGTGCTTAGAAAATTGAATACTGCCATAATCAACGGCGCGGCGCACGTGGCGTTTGTCCGTGGGCCACGTTAACTATGGCAACGTCAGGTAACAGAGTGGATGTAGGGCTTCAGATCGAGGTGATAAGGGAGGATGAAAGCAAGCAGGGAGGACGCTACGGTACTGAATATACCGCGACAAGCCGTGGTAAACTAACAAGCCTTGAACCATCAACGTTATTCGGCTTAACAGCCAAGTTGAAAGGGCGTAGAACGAGATGCTTAATTTTATAGCGTCTACTTCAAGGTGGTATTATACAGTTGATATACAAAAAAGAGGACCGCATTCGAGTATCAGCCGGATCCTGGTCCTTACCATCAGAGCTGCTCAAGAGTTGCCTTGACCTGAAAAACTAGTAAGACTTGGGCAAGATATGAAGCGGAAAGTGGACATTCTTGCACCGTAGAAGGTACGAGTTGGTAAATGGCCCTTTCTCATCTACTGGGACGATGGAATGTATGGCAGTGCTAGACGGAAGTTTTTTCACAGGCCAGGTTCAATGTGACGATATCACACGGTTTGGGTACGAGCAGTGGGAAAAGCTGGAGGAAGACACAGGGCACCGGATCTTACAGGACATTCCTAGCCAATGGGCAAGGGTGGTAAGTATTAAAGGATAACAAACGGAAGAAAGCGGGCGCAAAGCGGAACAGTAGATCAGTTCAAATAATTATGCCAGGGGTAAATATGGGGGGATTCAATTTTGACCAAGTCCCGAGATCCAGTCGAGAAGCCCAGTCCACAGAGTCTTTGATGGTAAAAAATGTAGTAGACCAGCAGACGGTACTAGTGAGAAAATGCACCAGACTATAGTGATTCTTTGATACGCTTTCCGGCCTAGAAGAGACTAGAAGAAGTATCCTAAATTATGACCTGGAAAATGAAGCCGCGAAGAATATTAACTTAGCAGTAACAGAGGACGGCGTCGTCGGTGTGACGCAAACCGGAAGATGCCGATTAGCATCATGACGAAAAGCCGGAAAAAGATGCCGCAGGTAAAGCAAGCAGCTATTCGTCCCTATTTGCCTCCTGCAATGTCATGTCTTTCACCTTCAACTGGCCTCGGTTTTCGGACCAGTTCCACTACGATGCCATCCAGATGCTCAACAATGCTCTCAACAAAGGCGACAAGCCCCCCATCATAGCTGACAAGATAGAGGTCGTCGAGTTGGAAATGGGCACCGAGGTACTTGCTTTGCCGTTCCGTAATACTTCATCTCGAGCCTCATGTTCAATGAAAAGCCGCCAGAGCTCGAGATACGAGAGATTGGAGAGCTAACCATGGATCAGTTTCGTGGTATTTTTCGAATGTCTTACGCGGGGGATGCACATTTGGTACTCAAGACCAAAGTGCAGGTGCGTGTTGAATATCTGCTACCAATTTTCTCTTTTAATTCCTTTTTATAAATGTCAGGCAAATCCTCTGAATCACAAACAACCCGATATTCATCTCATGGCCGGAACCAAAGGCATGCTGGCTGCCAAACAGCCGCTCGTCGTACCGATGCTTCTACGCCTTTCCCAGTTCAAATTGCGATCAATAGTCGTCCTTGTCGTGTCCAAGCAGAAGGGTATTACTCTGGTATTTAAAACCGACCCTCTTCAAAGCGTGGACATCAATAGCACCTTCGACTCGATAGCCGTCATCCAGAAATTCATTCAGAGGGAGATCGAAGGACAGCTCCGCCAAATGTTCCGTGAAGATCTCCCTGGCATCATTCATCGGCTAAGCCAACAGTGGATAAAAGCCAAAGTGGAAGCGCCTTATCTTGCCAAGAAACCTATTCTTCGCCCTGTTCCATACCCTCCATCCGAGCCCCAGCTAGCTCCCCTTTCATTCAAGAATGTAGCTGAGGTACCGAGTGCTGAACAGAGACTTCCTGAACATCAGTATCACGGTTCCCATTCTTCCCCTCGTAACCGACGTCTTCCTTCATCTTACGCGCCCTCTGTTGCCACTGAAAGTCGTCGAGCTGCTACTACCCGATCAACGCATTCGTCACCCCCTGCACCTCGCGCTGAGGACACATCCAGTAGTACCTTCCCCGATCTCGAAAATTTCGATCCCACATACGGTTTACGGCCTGAGGGAGTCCCTACAAAAAGCGTATTTAACGGTTTCAGCAGCCTCTTTATGCCTAATCGTGGACTCGCGGACTTGGCGGAAGAAGAAAGCGAGGTCGGTGACTATGACGATGAATCTACATCGTATGACCTTGTTGACTGGGATGATGACATTGAACACACCACCCCCCCGAACAGTGACGTGAACGAAGGAAGGGAGAACCCAGTGACAGAGTACGAGACCATTCCTGCTGTAGGTGGTGGAATGATCACTCGGCCCCGGATATACCATTCCCAGTCCATGCTGCAGAGCCCAGGCGACGGGTCTTCGACTGCATCCGCATCCTTTTACCCACAACGAAGAGATAGTAGAATGTCGCTACGTGACTCTATAGCGACTTCTTCACGTCCAGGGTTTGCATCGCCAGGCTTCCTTTCTCCAAGTTTCCTACCAGGTGTCCGACGGGCAAACTCCTTGACAAATCCTTACTTCAGTGATTATCAATTGAGCAGTCGTTCTTTGACCGGCTTGGGTCTCAGCTCCCTCAGGTCGTCACCAACGCCAACAACTGCGTCTCTCCGCATTCCACACCAACGGCCGACAACCCCCGAAAGTCCCGACACCCCATCTTCCACACAGGCCATACCCACTCCACCTGCTCCCCCCTCAGAACGATATCGACGCTTTTCAGTGTCATCCTCACCCACGATGGACAGTGCTTTTCTTCCTAGTGGTTCTCATCCAACATATACCACAATGTTATCTGATTTAGAGTCATCTCCCAAAATAATAATTCGACCCTCTCTACTGAATAACACTATCAGCCATTTCTCTACGCTGAGCCATTCCAACCACACGTTATCTCCATACACCCGCTCCTTGCAGCACTTCACCGTTCGCAGCGGTCCCCCTCGGTACGGAGAGGGCGCGTCCCTGGGGCCAGAGAGACAGCCTGTTAAAGCGAAGAGAAAACGAACTTATCACATAGGCAGCGGACCCAAACCTCCTCCCGAGTCAGAGCCAGAGCCAGAGCCTCCCGCACCAATCCTGACTAACCCCCCTCCCGACCTAGATTCCTCCCGACCACCATCAGAATTCGATCTTGCCGACATGGACCGGTATTTTCGCTCTTATGATGATCTAAATCAGAATCAGATAATTCCCAACGGATCACCAAACCTGCATCCAAATCACGTTCGCCTGCGACGATCCTATTTGCACCCTGAATAAAATAATATCTTTTTTTTTCATTTTTCTTTGCATTTGTCGTCTCTTACCCACTACCCTTCCTCATTCCCACGGTACCGTTGTATGTATCACTATTGTTATTGTGTATGAAGACCCGGTTGAAAGGGCTCCGACAGTTGCATCGAGGGAGCCGGCGAGGCAAATTCAAAATCCTGCATAAAACGCCACAATTTTGAGGTTGTGACTTTTTAGTCAGTAATCAGGTCGAATGGCCACGAAGACCCACATCGACTGCGATCAAAAATTTAGTGTAAACGTAATATTGTTTGATTAATGAAGACTTACCGTGCGTACTAGGCAGTCGGCTTGTGTTCTGCCTTGCTGAGGGTACTTGTCGTAATTCACGAAAGTCGTTGTTAGCATATGTTTTCGTGAGTGTCGTCGCTAATGGCGAGTGCAGAACGGCATTGGGAGGTGATATGACAAGTCCTAACATGTCTTGGACATTTGTGCCTTTGGGAGTTGAAGGTGGTTCCTCAACGATCGTTGACTGGAAGAGTGCACGTATCTCTGGAATGGAGAGCTCCACATTGATGTCAAGGTCGATGCTCGGTGGGACGATAACTTCATCTTCATCAAAGGTTATCTGAGATCGCAGACCTGCCAAGAACTCGACCTTATCTGCTGGACTCTTTTCTACCACACGCTCATGCAACGACCAAAATTCATCCGGCGTGATCCCTAATAGTATAGTGAAGCTCTTGTCCTCCTGCAGCAACATCCACTCTAGCGTGGCTATCAATGATTCGACAACATCGACGCTAAGCACCTCGGTGCTTGCCAAAGCCAATATACTCTGACCTAACTCTTGGCGAAGAGGCCCCGCATACATTGCGACGGAAGGAAGGCTCTTCAAGATCTCGAGAGACAGCGACCATTGTTTTGGCGTATCGTGCTGTGTCCTCACAAGACCAAGAAGAACCGGGAACATGATGCCAGTGAGTTCGGTATGTGTCGCTAGCGAGCAAACAAGCGCCGTTAGAGAAGACGAAGTGAATTGGCCATCGAGCAATGCCATGATACACTCCTTCAGAGTGTCACAAACATCCGGGACTTCGGAAACGGTTGTAACGAACCAACTTTGCGAGGTTTTCTCCAGTTCGACGAGAACTTGAAGAGACATATTAGCCTGACATCGCCGAGCAACAGTGGCGGGCGTGTCCTCGGTGAGTCTCAGCATCGTCACCGTCTGGAGCAAAACTTTCAACTCCTCGATCAAAAGCCATTCTGCAATACCAATGAAGCCGTCATCCAACGCGATGATCCGCCCGATTAGAAGTGCTTTCTTCTGGACGTCTAGTAAATGCAGGAAGTCCTTAATCTCTGGTAGAAGGGGCGGAAGAACCGTTGAAACCCAAGTATCATTCTCACCCTGTGCTTGAGGGAGAACGTGGTCGAGTATAAGAGTAAACACTTGTGTCAAATGAGATAATGGATCACGACCGCTGCTGCGATCGCCATGCTCAAGCAAAGCTTGGAAGACAATCCGGCTCGTGGGTTTGCCTGTCTCGGTGAGAAGGTCGGGCTGGGAGACTTCGCATATAAGGGCTATACACGTTTGTCGAGCTATTTGCGCAGACGCAGACGCAGAACTGGTTTGATCGTACAAGGTCTTTGCTGCTTCGGAACAAGCGAAAATGTCCGCTAACGTAACACTGAAGCAACGCAACGGACGCGGAGTCAAAGGGAAGGAGGGGCAGAGAAGTAAGATCAGACGGAGAAGGTCATTAGCGGTATGGAACAATTGTTCAATAAGTTCCTGATTCATCAGAGCAGGAGGAGAAGACGTGATTACGAAATGTTCATTTAGATCCCCTGAAACTCCTGTCAAGACCGATAGAAGCTGGGGAACAAGCCCAACGGAATGCTCATCCCAGATGGTTTCCAAGACGTTGAATTCGCCGGCATGGGCTTCGTTTTCGGTCCGAAGTTCCCTTTCAACAATTGCTAGTGACACTCGAATCGTACGGAGCCTGCGCAAAGAGAGGGGATGATCACTGGAAAACGCGAGCTCCTCGATGGCTGCGGGGAGACCGTCCGTGGCAACCAAAGCAGCTTTCCGCAAAGACAACCTTTGGTTCTCAGATATGAAGGAAAGCGGGGGAACGAGATCAAGCACGGTCTCGGCAAAGTCAGAATGAAGAAGAGCTTGGGGATCTTTCGCTATTTCGATGATGATCTGCTCCGCCAGGGAGTAAGACTTTTTGGGTGGCTCCCCGTCTTCGTTTACAGCGATCCATTTCAGGCGCCGCGAGAATTGACGAACAAGCAATAGACGGTTCACAATCTAGATAGATACTTGTGGGTCAGATACACGCTAGTGCCGTGATGAGATGGCCTTTACCTCTCGATAGCCTTCAACGCCTTGCCACATCAAAATGATTGCCAAAGCACGCTCTCTGCATGCTTCAGCTCCAGTGCTATCGGACCAAGCCCATGCCGCAAAGACGGCGGCAATACCGATAAATGCCCTCACAAAACGAATAAATTCATCATGCTCGATTGAAGTAGAAGGGACTCGTGGAGGAGGAAGTTGTGTAGATGAGACAGAATTCTCAGATAACTTCGTTACCAAATCTTCGTGAAACGTCATAGTTTCTAGCCATGTCCCCATTGACTGTTCTTCGTTTCCGATGTCATTCAACGTCTTCATGCTTGTCTCAAAATCAGCATTGGAATTTGAAAGCGCATCCTCAAAGACGCCCCATCCCTTGATTCTATCCGCAAGACGGTCCGCGGCCAGTTTGGACGACCGGTCTGAAATCGGATTATCTTGGATGTCTTGGAGTACGTTAAGGAAAGCCTCAGCACTAAAATGCCGAGCAAAATCAGCATTGGCGACGGCATCCATCAGGTGGCAGATTGTGTCGTCATCGACGACACTGACGTCGAATACATCTGTGGGATCAATTTGTTGCTGGATGGGAGTTATTAGGTCATACTACTTCTTGCGCGAAATCAACTTACACATAGAGCCAGCCCCAATGAAGGCATCTGAGAAGCAGAGATACTGAATAGTTTAGCTATATGGTATGATTGATATACGCTCTAAAGCTGCTTGTCACAAGACAATTATCGGACAGAGCAGTCGTACATACCTTGCCACCAAGCAGGCCTGCAACTCCCTCTGAGAAGTTAGATATCAGTTCCTCCGAAGTGTTATCGCGGATAGGCGTTTCAATCATCTTCCAGGCTCTTTCGAGACTGAAGTCATTACCAATCTGCAAGTTTGTGTCATTATGATACGGGAATTTAGGATCATCCCAGTCCTCATAGGCAGGTTTCAGACAGAAAGTAAGTCGAACTACGAGGTGGAGAGGTGGCGAATCTGGAACCAGCATGAGAAGGGCCTTAGCCAGTTGCGTTGGATCCGCGGCATTGGCTGGATCAACTGACATGGGAATCGGGGCGGATGACGGTGATGGCAGAGGAGCAGGTTCATAGGTCTCTGGTGCTGGCGGTATTTCTGATACTATCTTGCCGTAAACTGCCAGAGAAAGGACTTGGAATTTGCCCTTGACGATCATAAGACGCGTTGAATACTACGGCGGTTAGTCATGTAAGCCCCAGGACAGTAGGGATATGCACCTCTGTTCCCATATCGACCGTAAAATCAACTTGTCCACCAGAGTACGCAATTGATGTTGGAACCAGCGCATTCGGAGCTCGTTGTTTTTCCTTGGACTCTCCGACCGGATGAAGAGGGTGGGCATTGAAGAAAATATCAAGATAGAATGCTTTAGGTTCCGTTTCACTAGCGGGCATCTCATTCAGCAGTCAGCATTCATGGCAATAACAGAACAACGTACGCCACGATGTCCGGGCAGTTGACAAAAGGTTGTGCGCCCGACGGAAAGACGCGAATAAACGACACGCGAACTGGCTTGTTGAAGCGTACAGCACCCAATCCAGACGGTCCCTCAGGCGATACCGAGCACCAGTGGAGGAGCTTCATGGGCGAGCAGACTTGTCGTCGTCGTCGTCTGCGCCGAGCAAATGGGGTAGAGTGTGAGAAAGTAGAATCGTGTTTCCACTTTCGGCTTCGCTGTCTTTTGATACCATCCACCATCTCCAAAAGAAAAATTGCTACCATGGGCAGTCGGACCACCTCTGTCAAATTACCAACACTCGACCTTTCCAAGCCCCCGCTTTTGAGGGGACGTGGACGCAGTGGAAGCATCGTCAAGGTCGAGCAAGTCGGCGACCGTTCCGCAGAAGACGCCCTCGACCAGAGCCTCTTCGTGAATATCAACGCCAATTGGGTCAATGCCAAGGGTGCGTCGTAGGGTGCCATTCCCATGTCAGCTCGCTGAATGACTTTCAGGTGCATGGCTCATCCACGTCGTTCTCATTTGTGCAGGCAAGGTCTTGATTGATACTATGCCTGGCATGTCCCAGCAAGTCAGCTGGACTCTAGTCAATCTTTTGTATCTGGCTGTGCGTTACCAGCACCTTGATTCATCTCCAGTTTCATAAGGTCTCTCAGCTATCATATCTAATGTTCCACTGGGTCACCGGCATGCCATTCGAAGGGGACTTGCGTGGAGGGGCATACGATGACCTAACGTTATGGGAGCAAATCGATGATGGCGCTCAATATACTCCCGCCAAGAAATGGCTGTTCTCAGTGCCAGTCGTGTTGTACGCCTTCTTTATATTCTCCGTGCCGCCGAACCTCATTGCTTACCTGTCTAGATTTCTTGCGTCAACACATTACACTAGTTATAACCCATGGCTGTTCGCCGTCAATCTTACTGCCCTCATCTTTGTCTTGATTCCCAAATTACCTCAGGTATGTCCCTGTTCTCCCGTCAACCACGTCATGTATCTAACGTCACATTCCTGGATCCTGTAGCTGCACCGTCAGCGCGTACGTTTCATGGCTGACGCATCCGGCATCGCCACCCCTGTAACACCGAGTTTTCCTCCTTCTGGAACGCAGACACCAATAGACCATGCTGCACGACTGTCTGATATCACGGATGCTCACTTTGGGTAACAATGCCGTCCGTTACGAATAACGTACCTATTGCATTCTCTTGAGCATCTTTTCGCATTGGAAGGGCATCGCTTCCGCTCTGTATAAATACTCTCGTCTCCAATCCTTAGAATATGGGAATGTTAACCCAGAAATTTCATCATACACTGTCCTGTCTTTATGGATATATAATCGTACTCGTTGTCACCACTTCCTCCTCCGAGCTTCCTCTATTGGGATGATACAGTTTTGTAATGTTGAAGTCGAAGTCTAACAAGTTTTTAGGAACACAAGGCATAGGATGGCTAGACACCACGTACAGATTTCGGAGAAGCATTAGAATCGTGACCTTGCCCACGGCAGGAATATACAGTGAGACCTTAGGGCAAGCTTTATATTGGAAAGAAACATGAGTCAGGTTGAGATGCGTTACCTTGTCCCTTACGTCCTTTTCAAAATTCTTCTCGGCAGCGATATTCAAGCAGATACAGCCATCTTTGAGCCATTCTGTGTTGACTTGATAGTCAGCATTCGGTACAGCCGAAACCACGACGTCAGAGAGGGCCAGGCACTCTTGTAAAGTGAGCACGCTAGGTTGCGCGACGTGACGCGGATAGAACCGACGCGTCCCAGTGGCGTCTGTTTGTCGCGGACGCTTGTTATATTCCTGAATAGAGTCAATATCGACGGAAAATACTCTGGCACCGTCGTTCGCCAGGAGCGCTGCTAGCGGTCGACCAACGACCTCTGATCTGCATTACTATCAGCATTTGCTTCGGAGGTCAAGGTCTGACATCTCACCGGTTAATCACGGTAATTATTCTCCCATAAGCACGATCTCCGTATGGCAGGATTCTGTTATATACCCCAACATGTTCAAGACATTTCACGATAGCGAGTGGAGTGCATGGTATGATCGATTTGACCATACCCGGAGGTGGCGTATCACCATCCGTAGTAGAAGCAGCGGCGTTGGATGGTAACGAGGACGTCAGAGTCTGAGGTGATATGAAGCGGATGCTTGCAGATAATTTAGGACTAGCCAGGGTAACGGTGATTATCCTTACTTGTGATATAAATTGTAATGGAACTTGACGTTAAGACCTTCAACGTCTTTGAATGGTGTGACAATCTGTGAAAAACAGGTTGAGATCACCGTTATCTAAGTCTTAAAGTATTGCATACCTGCTGAAGATAATGATCCTACCAGAGGCGAGTTGAAGTAAGGTAGTATCGTTCTAAATTTGCTACAAACCTGTTGGGCACCGAAGATCGGGTAGTATACCTGGGGAGGGAAATTCATTTAGAACTTTCGGAATAAGGCAAATGCATACCATGATACCATCTACTTGATCATCTTCATTCGCCTCCATTATAGCTTCCTCAACACCTTCGCCCTCTTGCAAGTCCGTCGACTCTGCGGCGCCGGTCTTCTTCAGGATGAATTCTACACCGAATTGCTCGCATTGCTTTTTGGTAAATTCTGCATACATCCTACTCGGGGCAGAGGAAGTCGCGAGGATACCCACGAGTTTCGGTTTTCGGGGTGCATGCATTAGGGAAGATATAACTTCCTCTCGGAATACCGCTGCGATGGGGTCTGCTTTGAGCAAAAGCCCTTTGCCATGTATTTGGATGGACATTAGATGTTTTAATGACGACGTTGGAGAGTAATCCCAGGCAAAATGAAAGAGAGTTTGTCGTAGTCGTTGGGACACTTCCTCCTGAACATTTTTTTTCGGCACTCGGTCCGACGAGAGAACTGCAAATTGCAAATTGACTTCGGGTCGTGCCGAAGACATGTACTTTCACCTATCCATATCTTCAATAGTTGAACGCCGGTATTCATATATGTTCTGAAATTTTCAGATACAGGGCTTGCCGTAGCATTTTAACCAGGACTGAGCTATTGACTTCGAACCACACCACGATCGAGGCCCACCAACATATGTCGCTGTAATATTGTATAGGTGGTACCCCATCTTGTGTACAGTGGTAACAAGTACATTGACCCGAGACACAAAAACAAGCCTATTATCTACACATGGGACCATATACCGGTTTTCTAAACTCTAAACTCTATGCCACATGCTCCGGGATATATGAATCCTTAAGACACACAATCGTCGGTCTTGGTGCTTGTGCTTTTGTCGGGATCACTGCCTCGAGCGCTTGCGTCCATTTTTATCGAACCAATGGCACTGTGCTAGATAAACTTGCTATATTCGTGATCGTTTGTTTTTTTAGGTATTACAACACTTGTTGTCTGGCAAGTATCTATGACAAGCACGATAGGCACAAGCTGTAGGGAACAAGAGGATTGTCGGTCGATAGGCTGTGGGTACCGAAGATGATATAGAGGAATTATCATGACATTGAGAGTACAATCAGGATACCATTGTGCTTAGCAGAAGGCTTTCACTAGTAGATGGCATACCAGGAATACAAGTCACCAGCATCTAGGCATATCAGAGGTGAGATGCTCGACATCGCTCGGTACCGGGTCTTTCCGGAAGGTAAATTCTCAGTCACATGATTGCCGCGTTTATTTAGCCATCAACATGAGCCAAATAGGTCTATTCCAGCTCAAGCGAGTCCTACGACTGTTTTTCATCAACGATCTGCAAGAGCGTCCCATTTGAGCCACTAACGCGCCTTACCCCTTTCACGCACGATGCATTCGACGCTCATTTCAAATCCACGATCCTGTTTGTAAAATGATTCCTCTCATTCTGACCGTGGCTCCGACCATTTTCTCGTTTATATGTTCTACTTTTATTATTCTTCGCATTTTTATTCCTATCTTGCCACCCCATCCGTTGAGTCGACGTGTTTCACCTGTGAGTCTTTTCCAAGACAAATCGTGGCGCCTGTCTGATTTTTTTCATAGTCTGAATTCGGTCTTCCTGGACTTTCGCTCCCTATCTCCAGCTGACAAGATGTATACATTATCTTCTGCAAAGAAGATCTGGTCATCATGTAAATCTCTGGGAGGACCATCCTGTCTGAGTATCGCTGAAGATCTGCTTGTTGGAGTGCGAGTATGATTAGCCATGACCGTAAGGCCAGCCTGTCTCCTCGTTGTCTCTGCTATCACACTACTCCACGTTCATTTGCGTGGCTCCGTTTCGTTTGGATCCAAGCATTGGATGCTCTGGGCCCTAACAGCTTCGTTTTTAATCACGTCTACTGCTGTCACTGGTGTTATATCAGGCACTGGTATTACCACTTTCTTTACGGGCCTTGCTGCCTATGCTTCCGTTGTTGCTACTATTCTCGGCACTGCAGCGTTTGGTTGTCTCATTGGAACCCTACTGATCATTAAGCGTAACCTCACTGCGATGAATGATTACGAGGATTCGTGGCCTCCTGTTCGGCAGATGGAGGAAAAATCTAGGCCATCATTCGCCACCGAGGAGATTGACGCTATTCGAGACGGAGCCTCGTGGATCACTTCTTCAGCTGGCTCCCGCCGCGGATCCATCTCTGCATTGTCTTTTTCCACTCATCACACTGGGGTCATTGCCAAATGACGGTGGCCGGCAGCCTCAAGGAGACCACAATGCTTCGGTTCCCACTAAATCATTCTTCTGGTTTGGATTTTCTACCACCAATGTCAATTCTGTTCCTCCAGCTCCACTACTTCCTTTTTCATATGGTCCCACTTCTCGACACCAGCTGGTCTTGGTGACCTGGATCCATTCAGAAGAGAAGCACCTGCCTCCTCTGCTGGATCATCCTGGTATTTGTCTGGATTCCTAAACCTCATGGTTGACCTCGTCCAATGGATCCCACACTGTGATGTCTGCTTGGTCATTCCCACCCACTGTTCATGACGATGACTCTGTGCGCAGTGGTAGTACTGTCAATTTGCATACCCAGTTGTTGCCTTTTAGTACCGCAGTATCTCGTCCTCCTACACCTGCAATATCATGTGCCCAAGTCTTGGGCGGATATAGATATACTCCCAATCATAAGGATACCGAGAAGAATCTCAGGAGTCTGGCAACGACATCCGGAAGGCTCGATATCTCCATCTATCGCGCTATCGGGTGGTCAACTATTATCTGGGTTCCCCTGGTATGGATATGTGTCTTATTGCAGGGATTGTGCTCATATGACGCTCTAGGGTCTAGCATGTCCTGATCGATGTCGTGCAAAATGGTCCCCCGTCCGTCGAAGAGTTGCCTGCAGTTGTCGTCCGACCATCATCGAATGTGGATTATCAAGCATACGAATATCGATTATCAGGGAATAATTGACCCGCTTTCGAAGGTGCTGTTTGAATTCATCTCGTTTTTCATATCGCTTTGCTTTTATGATATGTTAATATCCTCGTTAAGTTTTTGCTATTTTTCTGTCCCTTTTTTGTGAACCTGTGGTTTTGTCATGACGTCCCAATGCTCCGTATCATCTACGTACAGTTATATGTTATCTCCGCTTTTGCTACTTCGTTATCGATCTTATGTTTTATTTGCTTTGCTAGACAAATCGCTCTCACTTTTTTTAACGTTCTTGATGATTTTATGATACCCCGATATATAGTTTTTATGTACTCACCTATGCTTCAGGAATGCTCTTTATATAAGTAGTCCTTAATGCAATTCAAGTTTCACAAAACTCTTTTCCTTGCTGAGTCAGCGCATCTACTTCGACCGGTATCGACCTTACCACTATTAAACAAGCAATAGGAACTTTGTTTTGCTAAGTCGGAACGACCAATGCTCGTTTGACTATTGCTGATCCTTCTTGAATATAGATTTTAGAGTCTCAGGACTGTTAGGTCGGAAGAACAGTTAAGCTGCAAGAGGCATGACGCGGGGGACGCATCGCATCGTATCTCGTCAATATCTCCCAATTTATCTCAAAGGGCAAAGGGTCATGGTAGCGGTGATTGAGGCCAGGCTGGTCCATCTTTTCGACCGAGACGGAATCTGTCAATATGTTCCCCCCGTCGAGGCTGACCGGTGCTCGACTATCATTCATTTCATCCGATCGCAAGTAGGTTTATTTGTTGACTTCATTGAACCTTTTTTTTGCTGTCTCAGAACAGAACCTTTTTATTCTGGTCCTTTGCCAGCCTTCTAGCGGTCCACGAAACTATCTAAGCGGTTGAAAATGCCATTTCTTGTCTGGCGCTGAAGGTTTACTAAACAACTCAGTATCATGGCCTCACACGGGTTCATTCCCTTAGACTTCGTCATATCCACTCTGATGGTCGCATCGCTGAATGGACTACGCCTCAGCAACAAGAGGTAAATGTCAAGCGCAAATTAAGCAACAGCGTATTCAAGCGCACTATTCTTATCCTACCAGTACCCAAGTCTTCGCCACTTGCGTCGCGTTTCACTGAATGGTACTCTCATCCTAGCTTCCTGTCCGCTTGGTTCACCCCAACTTTTAAGGAGAACGTTGCTATCTTGGTAATATCCTCTCGTCCGTGGCTTTACTGTACCCGTCACTGCAACATGCATTTGATGCCGCTCCTCGGAATTTGTGTGCGTTCCCCCGGAGGCAACATGTTTGCACAGAACGAATTGCGGGTACTGATCAGGCCGCACCTTACGGTTAGTATTCCTTTCTCTTCTTGTTTCAAGGTTAGCCGAACAATAGTAATACAGAATCATCTTCGTTCAAACGCTGGACACCCGCGGACTCTATTATGGTGACAAGCCGGCGCAGGGAATAATTGCGCATACCGCTAACGATTATTTATATTACTTTGAAGGCGATCATCGCATTTTAGGAGGAGCGGCAGTCAAACTGATCCAAGAATGACGCGGTACTAACGGAGAATTCATCTTCTTTCACCTGCTACTTTGCTCTGGAGCGGGAGACCAGAGGACTTTGTAATTACCTGTATCTCCCTTTTTCGGTAACCTCTCCAAAAGTACACGCTGGTGGAGCTCTTGCGTCAGAGCTATTGACTGGTCGTTACAGTAAGTGTCAAAAGTTTGCGGATCCGTAAGATAGCTGATATCATTCACTGAGGATTCGGGAGCCGTGCATCTATTCGCGGGTACTACCATAGATAGAGAATGGGCGTGACAACCCTTCACCTTGGTGAGTACATGTAATGCTAACACAATTTAGACTAAGATCGATTCTCCCGTTGTCGGTGGTGGCTTTCGATGGTCGACTAATCGCCGGTGTCGGAAAGTCCCTTAGGATATACGACATTGACAAGAAGCAGCCCTTACGCAAAGCAAAAAATAAAGTACTACTAGTCGTCACCGTTGTCACGATTTTATAGTAGTCCGAATAACTTGGACTTTGACTTCAGGGACAGCCGCCTTTTTTTTGTAGACGAACTACTAGATTCGTCTCGTCACATTCGCTGATAACAGCCAGCGGCGCTAGATCTCCACCGTGGCCACAGTGGACCATATATCATGCAGCAATCGGTTTGGGTAGAATCTCTTCTCCGATCGCCGGATTGAAAGTTTCCTACCAAGTGTTCTTTTGCAATGAAAATATGTCCATACAAGACAAACATTTCTATGCTGGTTGATCTATCAGGTACCTTACCCTGTGTTCGCTCAGCTTCTAAGAGAGCGACAAAGGAAATTTACTTCAGACCCGGAACATTACCAGCGGTCACAGCCGTAGGGGGATATCAAAACTGACTCGGAGCGTACCAGCGATAAACCGTAGATGCTCCCGTTCTGTTGCAAACCCACTGTTGCTCCGACTATCGAGCTTCCCAAACAATACATACAAATCCTATCGACAATTCCCTCCTCCACCGCTAACCATACATTTGAATGTTGTGTGATGGCTACATAACGCATATAACGAGGGGAAAGCATTTCCTCTTGGGGAAGTCCTACACCTTCGGGAGAGTGGCCCGCTCTGCAAAGATAAGTAAGTGTCCGTAAGTGTGTAGGGTTGCGCTGTTGTGGCGTAGAATAGAAGGTCACGGTGCCTTACCGTTCCTGGGATTGCCGGATTTCTTCCGCCAAGTAACATCTGAAGCGACGTCATGGAAATCACACGTCAATCAATGAAGGGGTGCAGTCAGTCACGGGAAAACGGAATGCTAGAAGGTAAAAAAAACAACTGTCCAGTGCGCACGTAGAAGTGAGTAGGCATGAGAACGTCCTTTCTAATGATACAGTGTCCATTGGGTTTCTAGCCGGTTTAATGTATCCATCAGAATCCTTCAAACCGCCCGTCTATCATTTCGCACTACGCCGGGATGATCTTTGTAATCCAGGCCTTCAAATCGTCAAGCTCGTCGGGGCTCGCAGTATGTGCGACACCCTGATAGACATGGTATGACAGCCCTGTTAGGTTATCGGGCGTCGCCTCAGGAATGCCGATCTCGTTTTTCAAGAATTCAACAGATTCGCGAGAAAACGTTAGCTTGACGAGCGGGTCATGAGTACCATGTCCCACGAAAATGGGTATTGATGTGGCGTGTCCAGATGCCATCTACATTAGAAGTTCCAAGTGAGAAACTCATGAGAATCCGGTGAAAACTATGCACCGACCGATTTGAATTTATCTCTGAGTGCAACCCACCCACTGAGCGAAACGATCCCGGCTAATTTGCGTTCCATCGTGAGTCCCGTCAAGAGCGACATAGCGGCTCCCTGGCTGAAGCCACCAAGAATTACACGACTGGGGTCAACTCCAGCTGCGACCTCCGTGTCAATCAAATGAGTAAGCGATTTGACGGTCTTCAACATGCCGACTTCATCCTCCTTGTCCTTCAAACCAAAGGAAGCGATGTCAAACCTGCAGACAGAGTTAGAATGAAAGGGCTCGAGAGACATCGTATAGACGTACCATGATGGCATTTCCATGCCCATGTTAGCAGTGACAGCCATTATAGGTCTGGTGACAAGAAACAACCATGATGAGCCAAAGAGGTGACGGATGGATGGGGGATAAAAAGAAAAGATTCAACTCCGCGGAACCATTGGGAGGATACAGATGCTTACGAGTGCGGTAGAATCCATTTTATGTGCTTTAGAGCAGGCTCAACACGAAACATGTCAGCGACGGGTTTCCACCCGTTCCCTGTGTCGCCCAATCCCTGTCGAAAGGCGTCATTAGTGCAACTGTAAACTAGTAAGTGATCTAATAACCAAGGAAAGTGAGCTGACATGGACGAATATCACGGTAGCTGTATGTGCTGCGAGGGGGGATACAGTAAGATACTTGAGAGGGGCAATAACAGTGGAGGCCATGGTGGTAGTACTGGTGCACAAGTGAAAGAGACGAGCTTCAAAACGCCATCGGACCGGTAATTGCCGGGGTGACGATCGAAAGCAATTTACCTTCCTTGACGAGTCATCAGGAATGGACTCACCTGCTGCTCCAGCAACTCCTGCACTGTCAAAGTCTGCGCAGAAGAGGGCAGAAAAGGCAGAGCGGTTGGCTGCAACCAAGATCGAGCGCAGAGCCAAGGAAAAGGCCGCAAGAAAGGAAAAGAGACGAATTAAAGCTGAAAAGCGCGCTGCCAGCGAGCTCGACAGTGCCGATGAGGCAGAAAAAGAACGCAAGAAAAAGAAACCAAAGCTTGAATTTGGTGGAAGAGTACTCATCGATTTGGGTTTCGACGTTAAAATGTTTGACAAGGTCTGTCGCCATTATTTCCCGATTATATTTAATCCTTACCTGATCCGCGACGAATAGGAGATCAATTCCTTGTGTTCACAGCTAGCATATACATACAGTGCAAACCGCCAGGCATCATATCCGTTTTCTTTAATCTGCTCGTCTGTCAACGGGCGTACCCGAGATCGCCTCGAAGCCACCAGCGACGCGGCGTACAAGAGATGGATAAATACCGAATGGTGGGAAGAGGGATACGAGAGACTCTGGTCTGGGAACGCTCTATCAACGGCACCTGGAACTGAGAACGAAGACATGCCGAGAAACAGTTGTCCAGAGACAGAAGATGGGACCGAGAATATCAAGCGATCCATGGTTTATTTGACTGCAGACTCCGAGGAGGAGCTCACTGAGCTCCTCCCCCACGAGATCTACATCATAGGAGGCATAGTGGATCGCAACCGCTTCAAGGTAAAATTTTTCTTGTGATATCTTGTACAGAACCTTCCTGACCTTTCCAAGAATCTCTGTCTCGACAAAGCCAAAGAGTCTGGCATTCGCACTGCCTGTCTTCCCATAGGCCGCTACCTTGAAAATCTGCCAACGCGTAAGGTGCTCACCGTGAATCAGGTCTTCGAGATCATGCTCAAGTGGGTCGAGACCAGAGACTGGGAGACTTCTCTTTACGCAGTCATTCCCAAGCGAAAATTCCTGCCGGGAGGTAAAAATGGAGGGAAGGAGGACTCTGCTGTTGCTCCTGAAGAAGATGTTTTGACGCGGAACGAAGCTGCAGCCGAGTCCGAAGCATGTTAGTACAAGAAGACTTGTAATAGAAAGGATTCAGAATACAATCAGGCATCATGTCCTTGTCTTGTCCCATTAGAAAACACATGACAACGGGTCAACAAATGGCGAGTCAGGTACTTGTAACTTTTTGTTGTCTGAAACCAAAAAAAATGATATTTGCATAGAAGCGTATGCGTCACATAACGAAAACAAGAAACTACAAATAAAGAGATGACATACTACGGCGGTTTAAACGAGTAAGATTTGCAAGGTATGCTTATATACGTATGTATAATGAGAGGGAGCCCCCCCCCAAAGTCTGGTGAAAGCGTGGACGAAAACATGCAAGATAATGAGGGATTGATCGTAGACTTGGACATGGCGTATGTGATGACGAAAAAGGAGAGGACAGATAGTGTGCAAAATGAGAAGAGATAGGAAGAAGTGCGATTAATAGTAAACGGTCCCTTGAGGAATGTGCTCATTGTACATCTCGTACTGTGGTACCCGCGACATTTCCATGTACGGCATATATCCGTACGTCTCGGGATAATAGTACTGCCCATAAGGCGCGTACATCATACCAACTTGTTCCACCGGAGCAGTCCCATTCTCCGTGCCTTCCTCAGAAGTATACAAGGGAATACCTGACCCCTCAGAATATTGTGGTTCTGTACCCTCCGCAGGTCGGATTGGCTCAAAGGTAGCAGCCGCGGATCTTAACCCTGACGAGGCACGTTCCTTACCCGAGGCCTTGCCAGGATCTCCTTCCCCGGGTGCACGTATTTCAATCCGAGAAGATGGAGGGGCAAAGGAGAATATGGGCATGCCAGTAGCTGGATCAATGAAGCCATTGACGGGTGTGTGGGAAGAGTAGTCGGTAGAAGCCGTTGACTGATGATGCAGGTGTCCAGGCACGAACGGAGCACTAGTAGCGGCCAACTGAGGCATCATTGGACGAGGGTTGTACATAGGCGGGGGCCGCAGATAGACTGGACGACCAGTAGCAACCTCGTAGGGCATACCGACAGGATTCACAGCGACACCGGGTGGTAGCGGAACACCATAGTGATAAGGAGAAACGTATGCAGGGGAAGGCTGTGAAAGAGTTGAAGGAAAAGCGGTTGGAACAGGAGCCAAGGAAGATCGGGCGTCGCCCATGGAAGATGAAGACTGCTGCTGTTGTTCTTGAGAGCCATTAGATGACGAATTACGCAAAACAGCACCCTCTGTCTGAGACCATCTAGTTGACTCAGGCGGAGTTTGTATTAACAACTGCTCGAGCTTCTGCTGAACTGCCAGTGATGGCGTGGATTGTGATTGCAGAGTACTAGAACGAGCTCTGGAGGACGGTTGTTCAGGTAGAGGTATGGGCTTCGCCGTAACAAGTTGCGGCCTAACGGTGAATATATCTTCAATGGAAAGATCGTTAACCTTGGTAACAATATCCTCCACATCAGACTTGCCTGAAACCGCCTTCGACTTCTCTACAGAGGGTAGGCGAACGACGACGGTTTTCTCTCCGTACTCCGAACCTAGCACGCTGGTGGTTGCAGTGCCAGAGGGCGTTGGAATCGGCAGTTCCTCGGTTAACGTCAGTGGTGTTCTGACGATCTGTCCACGACTTCCGGGTATTCTAACTCTGTATCCTGCACCGCGACCGCGGCGCGGCTTCATGCTTACATCGGTATAGAGGAAGCCTTCATGCTGCTTTGTCCACGCAAGCTCAGGCTTCATTGGATACCAGATACGACCAGAGGACATCAAAGGTGCATTGGCGGACAGGGCAGGCGGCGCGCTGGAACCTGCAGCACGAGCAAAGCCGCCCCGCTCCCGAGTAGGCGCCCCTCCACCGACACGGCCGACTCCGCGGAATGGATGAGACTGTTGTTGCTGAGCTGACCGACGAGCCTCGTCGCTGCGTTTCATCTCTTCAAATCCATCGTGCGTCCACGCCTGTTCAACACGCGCGACATCAAGGACTTCCGCTTCTTCATCCTCCTGGACGGAATCTTGATGAGGAAACGCGTTTCGTCCCATGAAACCGCCCCGACCACGCATCGCAAAACTCCGATCGAAACCCCGCCCCCTACCCCGACCTTGCCACCGACCACGCCACCATCCACTCAAACTGCGCAAGTCCTTATCCAAAAGCCTGTCATCGTGGCCCCAGAACTCTCCTACCGTCGGAACATACGACGGATCCGATTCCAGCCTGCTTTGATAGGCCTGACGGGCAGTCTGTCCAGGGGGACGCCGAATAAATACACTACGGTGAGCTGGGCGTGTCGAAGAGGCAGACGGAGGAGGCTCTTCTCCGGACTCTTCCTCGTGATACTCACTGACGGACAGTGGGGGAGATGGAAGAGAAGTAGCTTCGGAGCCCTGCCTCGCTTTCGGTGCGGCTTTCTTTGCTTTCCGCTGCCGAGTCGGTTTTGATGCCGAAGTGTTGCCATTGAACTCTGTGAAATCAATAACCGGGAGGTCTGCAGGCCCATTATTGTTCTCTTCTGCCACCATTTCCGACCAGTTCCCCGAAGGCACAAAAAAGGATGTACTTGGCTCTTTTTCTGCGGGTATTCCATTGGTTGGACTTTCGCTCGTATTAGGGGTGCCAACTCGGGGACGTCTGTGACCAGAGTCATCATCAGATATTTGTTCAGTGTCTGAATCAGACGAGTCGTCGCTGGATGCTGCGCCGTTTTCCGATTCTGAGTCTGTTCCAACCTCTCTCACAATCTCGTCGTCACTGTTCATAGCTCTTCCTCGCCTCCTGACAATCCTTGTTTTCTTTGCATGCGAGTGGCCATGCGTTTTCGTGATGCTAGGCTTGGAGGCTATGAAGGCAGACACAGAAGATGGAGTTGGTACAGGCATATCTGTTACTGAAGAAGCAGGAGTTAGAGATACAGTCACGACTTGATAAAAGTAAATCGGACCTTACTTGAACAAGTCGTCCGAGCAGAAAAGGGGACAAGTGGGGAACAGAAAAGTAGGGAAATTGTGATAGGATAAATGGGATGCAAATGAAGAGTGTCGGTGAAAGATATTAAGGATGTTCAAGAGGCACCAATGAACGTTGAAGTACGACGGCAGATGATGACAGAAAGAGAGATGGGATGGCGGTTGCCGACGCTCAGCACGGTCCGCTTCAAACTCCGATTTCGCTGACTCACGATCCCTGTCTACATTTGGTCTTGAACTTCCTAGAGGATACGTATCATACGTTGGACAGTCAGGCTGGACAATCATATCTCCATCTGAGTATGATTACCATGCGCGCGCAAAAGATACTGACCAGAAAAAGTGGCTGTCCTATGATTCAACTTGGAGGAATTTCGGACTGATTGCAGTGTTGGGGCTGAGCCTTCGAGTCGTCAAAGAACAGCGACTGCCATTGACGCCGTTTCCGACACCGATGGCGGTCTATTCTTGCAGCATCGGGACCTGTCAACATTCCAGCGGCAAGCAAAACAAGAATTAACCTACAATCCTGAGGGAAAACAGCCTGAACGTCATACCGGCAAGGTGAAACCATGTATGTGAAGTGACTTGAATATTCTATCGACAATAATGCATCCGGGAGCGGGACATTATTTTCACGTGTGTCAAAAGAACCGGGTTACTGTATATAGGGATCTTTAAAAGAAGCCTTGAAGGAAGGTTCAAAAGGGTTGCGCATTATTGAATAGTTTTCTATATTGATAGCTGCGGCACCGCAACTCTTTAGTATTCCGATCTGTATCTTTACGTACTTAATGAGCATGATTTCTCTCTGCAATAACACAGATCACCGGGGTCGGCAAGACTACCCAGATACTACTTAATCCACGACACACAGTAGAGTAAACGCTGTCTCTTCTCTCTTCCAGTATGGATCCTAGCAATCCAGCTAGCTTCAACCACAGAAACGAGCGGCTTTCAACTGGTCGCACGTACCACTTCGTTGACCAACTTCCAGAAACATTTCATTCTCAAACTACGACACTTCTCTGTATACACGGTTTCCCCGACCTTTGGTGACGACGAATTGTGACATTCTTCGATACGTTTTGAATCTTATAATGCTGGATTATCAGGTACAGCTGGAGATACCAGGTGAAACCCTGGGTGCAAATGGGCTTTCGTGTGGTCGCTCCAACGATGTTAGGCTATGGGGATACCGACAAGCCAGTCGATCCTTCCGAATATACGACAAAGAAGCTGTGCGCAGATCTCATAGCTTTACTGGATCTTCTCGGTGTCGAGAGAGCCGTTAGTCCAGGAATTCCGTCTCGTTTGTGCTGAAGGGCTGAATCGATGTCTAGGTTGTTATTGGCCATGACTGGGGATCCTTCATTGCCAGCCGAATGGCCCTATGGCATCCCAATAGACTGCTTTCACTGGTCCTGTAAGCCTTTTATTTCGCTTAGTAGATTGCTGGTCATAAGGGCAATTTTCTAGAATGTCCATCCCATACACTCCTCCGCTGCGGCAATATATCACCATTCAAGAGTTCGCGCGTCGTCTCCCTAATATGAAATATCAGGTCTATTTCAACGACCCGAACTTCACGCCAGAGGTTGAAGCGGCAGTGAGATCCCATACCCCCCATATATGCTTTCGGTCTTATAGAGTTCCTGTTAGCTGCTGCCCTTCTTAAGCGCGGTGTTTCTTCCGCCGGGAAGCGACATCAACTTTACAGATGTTTCCTTGTGGCCAAAGATACTTGGTGAAGGACACCTACCTAGTTCGCCGTCTGTTCTGACTCCAGAGGTGAAACTAATTTCACTCTATTTCGATCCCGAAGTTGTACCAACCGCTGTCATTCTTTAGGAACTGAACTATTATTATACAGAACTCAAGAAAGGAATGACGGGACCTCTCAATTATTATCGGACGTCTCAATATCGATTTGACGAAGAAAGAGGCATGTTCGACTTTTAGCATTCTCACTCTAACTTCAATTTTCATCCTAGTGGCAGACCTTCCGTCGGTTCTTCCGAGCGATTTATCAGTTTTGTTTCTCTGGGGCACGAGCGACCCGGCTGCCATGCCGGCCCAGGTCAGCAACGCTCGCAAGTTTGTCCCGCGATTACAAGACGTCGCGTTGGAAGGACGAGGGCACTGGATAATGGTGGAAGCAAAGGATGAGGTCACCAGGACGATTAGTAGCTGGCTGGGCGACTTAGGTCTCCTCAGCCCTCAGAAACCGAAGCTATGATATTCCCACAAACACAAGCACGCCAGGGCAATTAATGTCGTGGATTTGGCAATAAATATGGTGACAAGTCCATGAATAGTTTGCAAGTAAGCTGTTGGCCTACAATGTCAGCGGCTGCTCAGCCGTGATTTTTGGGGCTGACACAGGTTTAGACCTTGGTCTCATCTTTTTGTGTAGCAACCTCGTCGCTCTCTGTTATCGTCTCTTCGCCGCACCTTTGACAGGTGCATGCAAATTTCCACCCGCGAGCCAACTCTATCCTTCTCCTTCGTCTGCAGTCTACAGCAGACTCTCCTTCGTGTTGAGTTACGTCAACGAAAGCCACGGTGACCTCATCTCCCTGTTTCAAGTCATTGTTGGCAATGATATGAATCTGGGCCGTGCCAGAGGCGAACGAAGGACGCGCAGAAGGTCGACAAGAGTGGGTGAGATACGATGAAAGTGTGTAGAACCCTGATCCAATTTGGCGAGAGGTTCCGTATGGGGTTCGGGTCTTCTCCACATCTTCTGGACGTTGAGTTGGTGCAGGCTAGCCACGAACAGATGAGCATTACCAAACATTAACCAAACAAAATGGGCAGACCTTGTCATCCCGGCCTCCGCCAAAGCAGACCCCATATGCGTTGTACGCGATTTTGCCACGGAGCTGAGCCATGTGTTCATCCGTCATAAATTTGTCCAAGTCCGCAACAGCAGAGCCCAGGACCTTCGCGAGAAGTGGTGCCTCTTCCTTGGGGAGATCAGCCTCCACGTATCGCAATCTCTCCATGTGGTCTGCGAGCATGTACTCCTCTCCCTCCGAATCTGTGAAATGTTGCTCGTCCTGCTTTCCCGTATACCCAGGCAGCAGCTTCAGCGTCTCAAAAGCAATTTGGCGGGCTACAAATCTTGCGACGAGGAGAGGCCCGGCTTTTCGTTCTTTCTGCAGATACGCGACAAACGCAGCCTGCGCCTTCCTGCGTTCTTCAACGGTCTGTGGTGTAGGAGGGTCCATGGGGATCTCCGGCGGAAGAGGTCGTTCAGTGGTGAAGAGAAGGTTGTGCGACTGGGATTTTGATGAAAGCTGGCATGCCTTTGAGCAGTAAGTCGACAAAAGAGGGTCTGAAGACGATTTGATCGAGATGGAAGATTCAATGAGACGTAGACAGTGAGAGCAGTGGGTTCCAGCAGCTTGTATGTCAGCATCGAGAGCCGTGACAACGGGATGCTCCTAAAAGTGAAAACATTGACTTGGCTGGCCAGAGATGGTTAACAGTTTGCTCTCGCCTTGTAGATGAGATCGCCCTTTTTGAAATCTTTATTGACAACAACGTATTTTCTGGGACCCTCCGGAGTGTCCTCTGTTTGAATTGTAACGCCGGTCGATTTTGGTGGGAAGTAGTTATAATACCCTACACAGAGCTTAGTCTTGGTCCTGTACTGCATGTCCTCACAAGATCATACCTTGAACTTTAGCCGTTACCTAAAGATTTAATAGGGTAGAAAAAGAAAGTGTATTAGAACATATTGATGATAAAAGGGCAGCAAAGATATTGAAAAGTAAACAGCGGACAAACGTGAGGATATGGGACCTCTGACTATGCCTACGGATCATCATGGTACCACGGAGTTTGACCCGGGATCTGTGACTTTATCCCACTCCTGGGAGGATGTCTCTGACGGCGGTCCACCCCTCACTGGACTTGTTTCCTCATCCAACGCATCCAAAGAAGATGAACTCACGTCCAAATTAGTCATTTGAATCACCATCTGCAGAAAATAATCAGACATCATGATCTAGGATCGGGAAAAGGAGGTCCACCTTGAAGATTGGTTCCGGGACAGTCTTCTCATAGATAACCATGAGCTCGACCGGCGAGGGATACACGCGGAGGGCACGATAGAACGAGAGTGCCGCGGGCAGTTGGAAATCAGGACCTGGTCAAAGAATTAGAAATTTTACGCGGATATAAGTGAGAGTCAACACTAATCACCTTGAAGGGCCAGCTGTTCACCCATAGCCACCTGAGACATAAAATAATTCTCCCGTTCTGCAGGCGATATCGGCACTTCTTCTTTTTTGACCCGTTCCAAGGCCTCCCGCAGTGAGTCCGCAGACACTGTATTTTGCGGAGCGGCCGATGAAGCTATCGACTTGTCAACGCGTTTCTTGTCTTTACCTATGAGCAGCAAGCAAGATTAGCCATCTCGGTAATGACAGCCACCCAACTTACGCAGTCTTTTCCTGAACTCGGCATCATTTCTTCGCTTGTAATCGAAGTAGACAGCGTAGGCAACTAGCCCAGCGACGGCGGCGCCCGCAACGACTGCAGTGGTTGTCCTCGAGCTCATCGCCCTTGGTGCTGATGACGGCAGAGAAAATCGAGTTTGGATGCTTTGTCAGCGTCTGAATCGGTCCGACGGTACCAGACCGTGGGACTGCACGCGTTGTTTGTATACTGTCTGGTTTTCTCCTCCTCTCCGTCGCGGCCGACGTCCAGCCCGTCATGGATGGTGACGTTGGCGCCGAAAATCTTCCTTTATCACTCATTGTTATACCTGCTGCCTCTGACACAGATGCTGCCGGCCGAGAGACCCGTATCAACGTTCCACTTTCCAATGAGCCATCTACCTCCGCTTCCGACCCGTCTTCGCTCGACAGCAAGCTATCGGAAAAGATATCTGCTGTTTTGAGTCCGCCTCCAACATCTATCGCTGACACTTTGTCTGAAAGCCATCCAGTGGCAGCGTCAAAGGGTGCATCTCAGCCGCAATCGATATCTGACTCTTCAAGCCTTGACGACAACCTCCCAGATGTCAACGGACAAGTCCAAATCATAGAAGCCCCATCTATCAATCAAGACGTTACGAACGAGGGCCTGGACGTGGTTGGTGAAGATGGACAAGACTGGGTACAAGAAAACGAGCATGAAATGAAGCGCGTCAAGGTACGTCCACCCCTTTCTTTCATCTCATGCTTCTTTCTCGTGTTGCATCATACTGTTCTTCATTTCCGTTATTTTTGATGAGTATGCATTCAATGGTCGCTGCCACTGAATTTGCGTTGTTGTATGGTTGCTCCAGCGTCTTCTGTTCAGCCATTCAACTCTGTCATCGGCTATATTATCCATGCGGCTGTCATATTACCTTTCGTCTGATTTTGTCATATTTGGTTCAAACGGAAACTCACTTCGTCATAAAGGTTTATGAACTCGTAGGATCGAGATGGCATGACCGAGGGACTGCCTTCTGCTTTGGCCACTTCTCTCAGGACGGCACCGAAGCACTTTTGACCGCCCGTTCCGAACGAAATCTTCAGGAGGTCGTGCTTAGTACCACCATTCGTTCAAACGATGTATATCAACGGCAGCAAGGTGTGGCTTCTCACCTCCATTTTCCAAGGACATGCTAATCATCTTTTCAAGATACATTGATTGTTTGGACAGAACCAGATGGGGTGGACTACGCACTCAGCTTTCAAGAGGCCGAGGGCTGCGCAGAGGTTTGGAACTTTATCAGCGAGGTCCAGCGACACATGAATATCGGGGGTGCGTTATATTCCCGGTCTCTGTATCCTGAGCTTACGGCCTGCCGCAGACGACCAAGGTCCTATCATAGGACCTTCATCCCCTATCCTTGGTCCAGAAAGCTCGGCGGCCACCTCGAACATTATTCGGTCGGGACACCTGCCCACGCCACAAATGGGCATAATCGGTGATATTGAAGCGGCCATTAAAGGTCTAGCCAGGACGCCAGTCGTCAAAGAGCGGTTATGCGAGTATATCCAACACGAGGTACGTTACATCGCGTGTAGTATACATCTCGTCGCTATTATATCGATGTTGAACGGTAGAAACTGATGTCCACGTGTTGTCACTTATTAGGATTACATCAAACAATTAATTGAAGTCCTTCGCGTTGCCGAACGGGAAGAAAATTTGGAGAACCTACACGCCCTTTTCAGCATTATGCAGACGATACGTCAGCAGGATTTCTCCTCGCAACTGCTCCAATACACTAACGGTTCTCATCTTTAGTAATGCTCAATGATCATGGTATGTACGAGCACATCTGCGAAGACAGCCTGTTCTTTGGAGTTGTCGGGATGCTTGAATGTTTGTTTGATATCTCCTCGTGGTTCTGTGTGCCTGCCTAATCTTTTTATAAGATGATCCCGAGTTTCCTTCCCACAAGGCTAACTACCGCGAGTTTCTCACCGATACCGCGCGTTTTCATGAGCCCATCACTTTTCAACCCTCCATTCAACGCAAAATTCATCATACCTACCGTCTCCAATTTCTCAAAGACGTTGCTTTGGCGCGCGCTCTTGATGACTCCACCTTCAACGTCCTCAATTCCTGTATCATCTTCAACCAAATCGATATTATCAATCATATACAACAGGACCTCATCTTTCTGCGGGAGGTGGTTCGTCTCTATGTGGATGAAGATATGTTGAGTGGAGGCGGAATCAGGAAATCCCCCCCTCAGGTCCAGCAGCAGCAGTCGAACGGAGACATCAAACCCTCCGTGACAGAGGCGATGGGGAAGCCGCCTGGTACAGATATAACAAATGGAATACATCCGACAACGCCGATGCCTCCAGCAACTGACCCTGACGATCAGGGTTTCGTGTTGCGTCGGGAAGTGATTTTTTTGGTCCAGCAGTTATGTGTCATGGGCAAAAATGTTCAGCTACCTGCCCGAATGGCTCTGTTTAGGTCACTTGTTGATCGAGGGATTCTGTTTGCTGTTCAATGGGCACTGGGTTTGCCTGAGAACAAGGACGTGTCAAAACCTGTTATTAGTGCTGGTGGAGAGATTCTTGCCGCGTTGTTGGATCACGATATTAATGGAGTTCGGGGGCATGTGCTCAAGCAGGTGGTGGCCATTGAGAAGGAGCGTGAGGCAGGGAAGAAAGGTTCCGACAAGGCAGAGACAATCCTCGAGATGGCATGCAGGTTAATGGCGCATAGCAAAGATATTGCCGTTCAAAGTCAGATAGGGGATGCTTTAAAGGTGTGGTTAGATCTTCCGCTTGATATGGGGACTACTGGGGGTAACTCGGAAGCCCATGTACGTGGCAGCTATATATCTCACCTATACTTCCTGATCTCGTTATCCGCAGCCCGCTTCCAAGATGCCAACACGAAAAGATGACCCAGGTACCGAACGCTTTATGGACTACTTCTACAAAGATTGTGTGATAACATTGTTCACACCATTCAATGACCTTCCGGAATGGCGAAACACCACGGGTATGTCGTTTTCCGGACTGTCATCGACATCGCTTTCTAACCTTGAGACAACAGAGCCTGTCTTGCACCTCACTCGGGAACAAGCCAACGAATTCGTGTATTTATGTGATCTGTTGTACAATTTCGTCCTCCAGCATCATTTTCGAAGTCATTTCTTCTTGATGTCAACCAATATTATGGTCCGGGTACCATCATTGTTCAAGGCACGGGATAAGCACCTGCGGCACGGTGGGCATTCATTTTCCTTGCTTGCTGTCTGAGGTCTTACTCGTCCTCAAGCTGCTTTCCGATTCTTCCGGCTGTTGCTGAAACAGAACAATTCGAATATCCACGGACAGGTTATGAAGTTTGACATCTTCAAGCCCATCTTGGATCTGACACTGCGGGAATCACGCAGGGACAATCTTCTAAGTTGTTCATGTCAAGAATACTTTGAACACATGCGGAGGGTGAAAACTTTCTTATTCTAGAAATCTTCTTTGGCTCATTGTTTTTCCAGGAGAACATGAAAGACCTCATCAAATTCTGCATGACCAAACATGAAGCCGAGATTAGGGCTTTGTGTGACACACCTCTTGGTGCTCAAAGATTTCAACTCTTCATCCGGAGATGGGAGATCAATAATGAACCGATTCCAACTGAAAGCAAACCTGACAAGCTCGATCACCGTGGTTGGCCCATTCAGGCCCGTACGCTTGAAGCCGAGGAAGAGGATTACTTCAATGCAGACGACGACGAGGACGATTACATTCCCTCCATTAGTCATTCGTGGCACCGTGGCAACAACATCTCTACGTCACCCGTGAACACGCTAAAACGCAAGCGGAGAATGGCGATACGTGGATCATCAAGAGGATTTTTCTCATCGCAACACTCTCCCATACAACATTCTCCCATACCCACTCATCCCCCTACCATGCGTACGCTTTTAACGCCGCTGGTAGATTATGATGAAGAAGACTCGGACGACCAAGAAGAGCTAATAGGGCCAAAGCCATTAAGTTCATCGAAGACATCTCTACCACCTTCTCCAGAGCTTTCTGCCTCGCCGAGTCCTCGGCCATCGAGTCGGCGGTCACTATCACCTGGCCCGCCATCGAAACGACCTGCCGCTGACGATGACGAAGAAGACAATCTCCTGGAGTCCCTTGTAAAGACAAAACTGCCGCCTCGTCCACAGTCCCCTGCTCCTGGAATGATGTCTTCAATGACTGGCATCGGTCCCGTGCGGCTTAGCGAGAAGCGTCGACGGCCAGATGATGAAGACGATGAACTAATGGAACGTCTGACGAAGATCAAGAAGCAAGATCATGGTGCACAAAAGGAGGGAGCAGGCGGGCCGATAGGTCCTCGAGCAAAACCCGGGGATGATCCGCCTCCGAAAAAATTTAAACTGAAATTTGGAGCTGGGAGTGTTGCAGTGGCCTCCTTACCCCCGAATTCGGCCCCTTCAGAAACTGGCGCCAAGGACGGGGATACAGGATAAGGCGTATCTTTTCTATATACGTTTCGACCGTTACAACGCCCATGATGTATCTAGATACGTGCATACTGCCCTGTATAGACGTACTGATATTATATTATTGACTGTTCCTTACTATTCACCTTCTTTGGACGCTGCGATATATTTTGTAGGTAACGGTGCTGATGACATGCATCCCTACCCTCCCAAACAGGCTAAAGTGGTGGTCCGACGGGTAAGGAGCTCGATTCTTACAAATTATCTCACAGAGCATGCTGCGTATCTGGAGAGTATCCAGATGAAATTCACGATCGAAATCCTTTCGATCTGAAAATGGATAGGGCACTGTTCTCAAGTTGACAATGATATGATCTTGACCATTGTGCTGTAAAACGTCCTATTCCCGAGATCGGTACAGGTATAGCACCCGCTCAGGTGGGAAGAGAGATGTTGTGACCGTGGTGGAAAAATGAATCTATTGCAAGAACCTCAGTCGCAAACATCATCGGAGGCCCCCACCAACAGGCGATTAGACTTCGTTGGAGAGAATCATTCGGATCTTCTAAAGGCTGTGAAGATGTAGAAGGGGATTCACAGGATCTGGACTTCACAAGACGCGACTTGCAGTCAAGAGTCACTGTGCCTTTGGAGCCTCGATATTTTTTCGACATCGCGATGGGTTCGGCGCACGTACAACTGAGGGATATAAGTCAGGAAGTCGGAGGATTAGTTGGTGCTCCAGATTTTGCGTATTTGGTTCATACTGACATGTCTTACAATCTAAAAAGACAGTCAACAAATAAAAAGTACGATATACGGCTTTGCATCAAAGACACGAGTTCAACTTATTCCCGATAGCAATTAACAAGTCGCGCATTATTAATAATAGATAGCATACCATTTCTTTGCCGCTAGTCTTCCAATTCCAAACCAGGAGCTGTACGGACACTTTCGAACGTGGCATTCCCCCGGAATAATCGCCGTTGTCCGTAGGAAATCATCGGGTTCCGAATTTCTTGCTCGTGAAGCATGATAGCTTAGGATGATCAGATGTCTCTGATGGAATGAATATTTGAATCGAAAAATGGTGACAGCGATAATTCTACAACCATTGAGCGTCTTATCTTCATACGGATCGTTGAGTCTGGTTTATGAGACTACGATAATTCGCCTTGAGCTTAGTCGACACCAGAAGATCTTGAGATATATACATTCCGTACAAACCGAATTATTCTACCCATCTTGTTGAGCGCAGACGTTTCCGAAACTCAACAGGCCGCCTGCATACTCCATACGTAGCTAGCCCGGATGCCTTGTATCCATGCGGTGGTACATCTGCCCAGTGGAGAAAGAAGTTCCTGTGGCAAAATAACGGCCGGATTCCCAGCGTGTCCTTGATACCAGCTGCTCGAGTGCCAGTGTATTACCAGAATTAGGACTCGGACACTGACTACCACGCACTGGAAAAGCCGACAGAATGGAATTCGATCCTCCGAAAGAGACTACGTTCCGTCTTGCGTTAATGTACTTGCCTAAATGTCGGGCCTAAAGATGGATCTGAATCTGCCGAAAACAAGTTTGCGGGAGGCTTAGTCATTCGGAACGGTACCGGACCGGGAGCAGCGGCACCGACGTCCCAGTGCCTTCTTCCTTTCAGCGTGCTCTACTTGCTCTCTTGCTTTTGATTTTCTCGAATGATGCAACTTTGTAGACGCCGCAGATACATATCCGATAAGGACCCGGGTTTTTCAGCATAACACCGGTTTGTGTGCTCTGTAAAAGGTTTCACCGTCGCGCCTGACCAGTTACAGGTCTAATTTGTAGGTAGTCTCGAGGAACGGAGCGGCTTATTCAAGTTTCAGTGGCTTCTTCACTGTGCTATGCTGTGCCTGGTGAAATGTAATGACGGGGACTGAGTACTGAAAATGCGTTTCAGGTTACGCGGAAATCCCTTATCCTGCCAAAACTTGTGTTCTGAACCAAATTTTGTTCTCAAAAACCGGGTCGGGACCTGGCAACAGTGCCACTGGATGTATTACGACTGCGCGCCATCAGAAAAATATACTACACACAATGTCATCATTTTCCGCGTGGATATCATATATGTTCAAAATACAGGATACGCCGCGTGGTGGACCAAAAAATGATTCCTGCTAATGATATCTTACAGAGTCGAAATTTCGAGCCAAACTGACCGCCGAAGTGGACGAAGAATGTCGTCCATATGGGCGGTGTATCACGCTGTCCCAACTGGTGCCATCTCCTCACCTCTTTCCAAGCCTTATTCCCTCGTAACAGATTGTCGAGATCTCTTCCGACAGTTCGTGATCGTCACCAAAACGGGCCAAAATGGCGCACTTCCATGAACTCACGTCCCTGCTGATTGCACATGCCTTGCGGACTTATTCCCTTAGCTACGTGTAAAATAGTAGGCAGAGGCATGGACACCCGGAGGCCCTTCCAGCCAGGTTTTCCCCGCAAAAAGAATGCAAATTTTTCAAGTTTCAGCGCTCTGGGGTACATGGTCACGACTGCGACGCCTCCCTCTTGATATAAAAGCTCGTCCTTCTGAGCTCTCCTTATTGACGAGAATTACCCCACCTGTGTCATTCCTGGTCTCGCACAATCTTTTCTGTTTTACTCTTCGCCATAAGCCATGTTTCCTGCACTGTCAATCTGGTTCTTTGTCGTAGCAGCGGTCGTAACCCAACTACTTGCGCGACCGATGCGTTTGGATTCTACTCGAAGAGATTCAAACTGTACTGATCCGACTGTTCGCGTTAATTGGTGAGACTTCGGTTCTGTCGATTCAATATATTGTTTCCCACTCAAAGGATTACTGTCTAGGCTGACCCTGACGGATGGTGAGAAGACTGCTTACTTTGATGCCGAGCTGTGTCTCCTTTCTTTGCCTGCTCAGTCGTCTATTCCTGGTGTCGTTACACGATACGATGACCTCGTAAGTGAAACTAATCATTGGCCTCTTTCTTTGGCTAATGCATAACGTGGGCAGGTTGGCGCGCACTCCATGCAGTCCGACACTGGCGCCGGTACGGATTTATGGCATACGACTGGACAGTAAGCGTCTACGATCTTGCGCCAATCTTTGTCTCATCACATCATGCAGATTCTTAGCGGTAACTCACATGAATTATCTCATGAACCGGGTACTAAAGCACTGAAATGTTCATGCCAGGCCCACCGATACTACATGCATACCCATGAGATCCTGCTTCGCGAGGAGTGCAATTATACTGGGGCCGTACGTTGAAATGTACCGAAGCGAATATATATACTGATGTCCAACTTTAGTTGCCATATTGGTACGAACTTGAAGATGCTGGCGCATTTAACGAGTCATCTGTCATGATCGAATTCGGCGGTGAAGGGCTTGAAGAAAATGATTATGTTATTGTGGATGGGCCTTTTGCCAACCTCACTCGTAATCTCGGTCCAGGAGCTACAAACACACCTCATCTTCTCACCCGCCAAATGTCATGGTGGAACACCACACTCGCAAATCAAACATACTTTGACGAAGTCAACGCCCAGACGACCTTCGCCTTGTTCCAGTCGACTCTCAATCCGACAATTCACACCGCTGGTCACAGAGGGGTCGGAGGCGATGTGAGCACTGATTAAGGTCGTTCACCTTTCCATCCTAACTACTAAACAGATGGAAAATATTCTGACATCCCCCAATGACCCGATGTTCTTTTTACACCACACTTACCTGGACTGGGTGCGTCTTTGGTGGACGTTTGTGCTAGACTGTTGATTTACAAGGATGATGCTACAGGTGTGGTGGACGTGGCAGGGCGACAACGAAACCAGGATCTTCGATATCGAAGGTGCTGGATACGAAACTCAGTCTGAGCCGGCGACTGGTTGGGTGGTGAGCGTGCCGTACTTATTCAAGTTACTCGCGAAGGGTTTACATGGTTGTGCTAGGAAACGAGTGCCGAAACTAGTATTTGGGTGTACGATATTATTCCCAACATCACGGTCGGTTCTTTGACTCTATCTGAAGCAGGTTGACTCAACTTCTCCGACATACAGGTCGGAGACGTCTTATACACCCAAGGCGGATACTTGTGCTACATCTACGCTTAGTCTCACTCACCAACTTCCCTTCATCTCTTTCTATCGGTTAATTAGGCCAAAGATCTCAGGCCAGAAAGGGGCTGAAACATAGGTACAAAATAGAATACGACAGCTTACGACAGGCTTTCTTTCTTTTAAATGTTAGCAAAACCAGCGTCTCGGATAGCTGTCTTGTGTATATTGTATCGCGAATCAAGCACGCAGATTTCGAGCTTTGCCTTCGAGTCAGTTGAGCGAAGGTAGGACCAATCTGAATCATCGATATTATCCACACAAATAGCCAATGGGTTTCGTTCGACGCCGCATCTGAGATATTTCCCCAATCGCTTCCACTGAAGAGACTGAATAGAACGCGTTTCAAGCAACGACGTTGGGCCAGATCCTGATAGCCATCGTTGTATAGATTTGAAGGTCAAGCCGGATACAGAGACATATGTTGGTAGGCAGGGAACACTGGAACTCAAGGGTATGAAATACGGGACCAGGCACCCGGAATTATTGACATTCAGCAACGTCAACTAAGATAGAATTTGACATACAGGCACAGCAATTGACGAGGAGACTTTGAGCGAGTCGTAGATACAATCAGTGTACCTTGAGCGGATGACACCAAATGACACGTTTCTCCGGAGATACCTGTCAATGGTTCTGGCAAAGATAAGAGTGAACGTCGAGGAAAGTCTAGAGCCAGAGATTTGAACGGTGCGTCTACATAAGAAAAGGGCCTGGATTGAGGGGTAACGTCAATTAGTGGCGCAAAACAATACCCAGCGAAGGCGTATCAATGCTAGGTGTCGAATTTGGTAGTGTATGTGGTCATGGAAAAACTGGCTCCAGGCGCATTTCCTAGAGTCCAACGTACGATAAGATGGATACCAAGGTAAGTACGTTGATTTGAGGGCAAGTACACCATATTTAGTCGAAGTTGTGACCTGTGATGGTTCTCCTAGTGTCTGGACATATTCAGTGACGTGTGGGAAAAGGGACACCGAATCCTTCATTGAAAGTGAAGTTGGGTCAGAATATCTGTTGAAAAGGGTATTTTGAAGAGCATAGGGAAGCAGTGTGGCGAAAGAGATTATACTTCTCCCTCACAAAGGTTAGTGATAGTCTTCAGGAGTCCAGACTGTCGAAGGACGTGTTATAGTTCCGTGGGTCGGACGTGAATGTCTCATGACATGCAGGAAAATCAAGTATTAGACGAGTATTGAGACAAATGAAACAAATACGGTGCCACATAATATTGGTGGTAGCTTGGTGAAGAATTACGAAGCCACCATCGTGTTGGAAGTGAATCGGCAACGTGATCGGTGGCCGTGCCAATTATTTGCGTCTACTTTTCAATGGCCTTTCTAGCGAAGGATATTCGGAGTGATTGTTCCGATTACCACTTTCTCTGTACTCTCTTGGTCCTTTCTGTTGCTGCGTCTCCGGCATTTGAGGGCTATTTGCACCGCGAAACTGTCGGATCGTGCTACAGATGCGGGTGTAGCCTGGTGACTGCTCAGGAACTGGTTACCTTGTCTCGACATTTTACCCTCAGCCTTTATTCTCTTTCAAGGGCCTATTTCGGATTCCGCTACCTGTAGATCGGCAGCAATGTCTTCAACGACGGAAGTATCTCTGCGCATTGTCGATGTCGTTGACGACAAGGGACAATCCACCATGATGCCGGATAGCAATCTACCACCGACTAAGAACGTCGACATTGCACCCTGGGAGGAGCCGGTGCGTCGTGCAGCTTGTTTCCGAGGCGTCTATCATGTGTCAAGGCCTTCTCAGCCTGTCATGGCCTTGCCTCCTCACCTGCGCCTCGTTTTGATTGATGCTGATACCTGTCTATCCAACAGCCTTCGCCGCCTGCAAAGCGGACCTTCGGATTTTCGCACAAATCCTCGTTTTCTTCTTTCCGGCAGGGGAGTATTGGAAACATATCTAATCGCGCCAGCCGTCCATCCGAATCCCATAGCTTGCTCAGCATACCAGACAGCGCCAGCACCAGCGCCAGCATGCTCGACACCTCTCTTTTCACCCAGGCGCCTCAGCTTCGCAAGTCCAAGTCGTCCGTTTTTCGAAATCTTATTCGTCCGCAGCGATCTAGGGGGGCTTTACGCTCAAGCTCAGATGAAGCCGAGCATCCGTCCCTTCTGCCCCCTCCCGTTCCCAGTCCTCAGTCCTACTTCCTTACCATTGGTTCTTCTCCCTCCTCGCTCTCACCTAAACACGGTTTGAGGAAGAAGAGAAGGAAGAAGGACGCTCTGGAGACATTGGAGGTTCCGCCCACGCCGCCACCGAAAGACGATGAATTGCGGTTAGACACCAACTTCGAGGACCTCGACGGCATTGTAGATCCTGCTTTATGGGCCAAGAGTGACTCTCCAACTTCTCCCAGTAGTGGCGGACATTTCAACTTCAATCATTCCCGTAGCCACTCGTCCGATCACAGCACTCTCAGTTTACACGTTGGACTTCCGCCACTGTCCCATTCCGATTTTAACAACCCTTTCAAACCTCAGAATCCTTCTCATCCTCCACGCACTTCTTCAATGGCAACCGTCAGACAAATGCATGGCAGTTTTATGGACCGTAAAGTATCGCCCAAGACCATTACGATGCGTGTGGCACCTCAGCCCATTGTTATCAGACCCCTTTCACCGAATGAAGAGGCGGATGATTCCAAACCTTCATGGGTCGCACCCGAAAGCTGGGCCGTGCAAGCAGAAGGCGAGGATCCCGAAGAAGGTTATTCGAGCGAGGATAATATTGCCCAGCCGTTACCAGATGATACGGTAGCCTCAAAGACCTCAATATCCCTTATGTCTATGAGCAGTAGCAATGGTTCCGTACAGAGTCGGAGAAACATTGACGACAGCCTTCCCGCGAGCTTAAATCCGCACAGAAACCAGACTCGGATCGCCAAACAAGCGTCAAATGGGATTCCTAAGTCTTTAATTCACCCTGAGGCGCATAAAAACTACACGATCCGTATTTATCGCGCCAACAACAACTATCATGTCGTACAGGTCGGGTTTCAGGTAACGGTTGCTGCGCTGACGCCGAAGCTTAACGCAAAATTATTATTGGGTGCAGACAGGGAAACACATCGATTGTATCTAAAGGAGCGAGGCAGAGGTTCGTGTCTTTGTTTCTCGTTTGCTTCTTGGTTTTTATGGTTTTCAGAACGTGTTCTGGCCCAACAGGAGCGACCGGCGGAAATCGTGCAACGGCGGCTGTCACAGGCTGGTTACGACATGTCAGACGGGGTGGAGCTGCTCGGAGGAGGGGAAGGGCTGTCTTTCCTGTTAAGATTTGTGTATAAGAGTCAAGTCCTCGGTCCAGCAGTTCGTATCTCCCTCTCTCCCATGGTAAGCACGTGTCACTGATGGTCTTTTACAGGAGAAGGATATCAATTTCGACAACTACGAGTATGTCGATCTCACATCACGCAGCTTACGCGCAATTCCGGTCGATTTGCATAAACACGCCGATTCTATTGTTTCCCTATATTTATCACGCAACCCCATGTTGGAAATACCCCTCGACTTCATCCAAGACTGCACTACTCTCCGTGAATTGCGGCTGTCACATATGGCTATGAAGAAAGTGCCTCATAGTGTCAAATCCAGCGTTACCCTTCATAGACTCGACTTGTCCTGTAATCGCATTGCTGACCTCGATGATGCATACCTGGATCATATACCCGACCTTCAGTATCTTTATGTGCAGAACAACCGCATAGAGAAGCTGCCGTGGTACTTTCCCCGACTTCGAAATCTCACTACGCTGAACATTTCTAATAACCAATTCGCCACACTACCCGAAGTCGTGTGCGAATTAAGCAATCTGAAGGATTTGGACATTTCCTTCAACTCAATTTCGGAAATTCCGGACGAGCTTGGAAATTTGCGAAATCTTGAACGACTGATCATTGTCGGGAACCAAGTCTCCAAAGTGCCTCATGACTTTTCCAAACTCGTCAGTCTGAAGCAGTTTGATTGCCGAAGGAATCAAGTGGCGGATTTAACGGTGATATGCATGTTACCCCGCCTGGAACGACTCAGTGCAGATCATAACTCCGTGCATGCGCTGGAGGTGGCACTTGGGCCCCATCTCACTTCGCTTGATGCCTCGCACAATGCCATAACGCAATTTTCGCTGATACCGGGTCCCATCGGACAATCTCCCTATGCCTTGACATCCCTTGATGTTTCGTATGCGAAACTTTCCGTGCTTGACGAAACTGTACTCGGCCAACTAACATCCCTCCGCTCACTGAATCTCGACCACAATTCATTCCGATATATCCCTAACTCATTAGGTGAACTGCAATGGCTCGAGATCCTTTCCTGTGCAGATAACTCTCTCGACTCCCTGCCGGATTCTATCGGACGTTTGCAAAAACTGGAAACGCTAGATGCTCACAACAACAGTCTGACGGAACTTCCTGCATCAATTTGGCAGTGCGCGTCTCTGTTGAAGATCAACATGACGTCGAACTTGCTTAACATCTGGCATTATCCAGCAAGTATGAGCGTCGGAGCAAGAAGCTCATCTGGGGATATTTCCATTGTGACGGAGAGGAAAACATCCACGGCGTCTCTAACTCACTGTAGTATGCCACCGCTGGCGTATTCATTAGAGAAGCTGTATTTGGGAGAAAATCAGTTCACCGATGAAGTTCTACTTCCCTTAACGATATTTAGGGAGCTTCGGGTCCTGAATCTCTCCTTCAATGAGATTCAAGATCTACCTGCGACATTTTTCCGGTATCTTACGAAACTGGAGGAGTTGTACCTAAGTGGAAATAAGCTGACGGCTATTCCAACGGAGGATCTTCCTAAGTTGACGAAGCTTTCTGTATTGTTCTTGAATGGGAACAAATTACAGACACTGCCTCAGGAGCTGGGGAAGATCAAGTCATTAATGACTTTGGATGTGGGAAGCAACATCTTGCGTTACAATATCAACAATTGGGAATTCGATTGGAACTGGTGAGTTACATGGATGCTTCCCTGTGGTGAACCGCTTTAATCAGTATTACTCTGTCAGGAATTTCAATAAGAACCTGAAATATCTCAATCTTTCTGGGAACAAGAGGCTACAGATCAAGGCTGATTCCAGACTTCTTGCGAACCACCGTTACAGTCGCGATTTGAATTCTATCAGTCGACAGTCACTGGCGGGCTTCACTGACCTGACGCAGCTTCGCGTGCTGGGACTCATGGACGTTACCATCACTACTACAGGGTCAAATGCCAGCGTTGATATTCCCGATGAGAACGACGACCGTCGAGTCCGAACGTCGCTTTCCACTGTTATGGGTATGGGATATGGCATCGCGGACACTCTGGGAAAGAATGAGCATCTCAATATGCTTGATCTCGTTCATGAGTTTCCCGGTCGCCCAGGAGAGTCGGTGTTTGCAATGTTCGGACGAGCGCAGCCTCCGAAGGCGCTTGCAAGTGGTGCAAGCTCTAATCGGCTAGCAAAGTACCTGCACGACAGATTCATCGAGGTCTTCATGACCCAGCTGAGCTCACTGAATGCCCAGCATAGTGAAGGAGTCCCGGATGCTTTGCGCCGCACATTTCTCAAGCTCAACCAAGACTTGCATGACTCTCTTTTCTCTTCGAATGGAAAGTTGTCTGGGAGCTCCAGCCCCGGCAGTGTTTCTCATTCACACGACGCCTTCTTGACGCGGAGCGGTGCATCCGGGGTTGTGCTGTATTTTGTTGGGAAGACAATGTATGTTGCAAACGCGGGTAATGCGCTAGCGGTGGTCTCCAGAGGTGGCAATGCGCAGTTGTTGTCTACGAAGCATGACCCGTACGACAGAGAAGAGACGAAGCGTATACGAAAAGCTGAAGGCTGGATATCGCCTCCTGGACTGGTCAATGACGAGATCGACATTTCGCGGTCGTTCGGTTTCTTCCATCTTCTTCCCGTTGTCAACGCCCGCCCAGATGTACATTCGTTGGAGCTGAACGACTTGGACGAGTTTGTCATCATTGGGAATCGGGGCCTTTGGGATTACGTATCTTATCAGACGGCCATTGACATTGCCCGACGAGAACGAGGCGATCCTATGATTGCTGCACAGAAGCTGCGCGATTTTGCGATCAGTTATGGTGCAGAGGGGAGCACCATGATTATGGTTATCTCTGTTGGTGACTTGTTCAAGCTGCCTGATTCGCGTTCTCGTCAGCCAACGCTGGATCCAGCTGTCGACCCATTGCTTGTCGCTAAGCGTCTTCCTCGTCGACCACGAGATCAGATTATCGACCGAGACATTAGCCGTCTGACGGCAGAGGTCCCTGCGCCCACTGGACACGTCACAATCGTTTTCACGGATATCAGGAATTCCACTCCTCTATGGGAATTCAATCCGGGGATGCGATCTGCAATTACTATGCATAATAAGCTGCTCCGTCGTCACCTGCGCTTCTGCGGTGGTTATGAAGTGAAGACTGAGGGTGATGCGTTTGTGATCTGTTTCCAGACGGCCGTTTCTGCGCTGTGGTGGTGTCTCACGATCCAGCTGACGTTATTGCAGGAGGCTTGGCCGTTGGAGATGCTGGAGTGTGAAGATGGTAAGCCGGTGTACGATGACCAAGATCGTCTCGTTGCGCGGGGCCTTTCTGTTCGCATGGGCATGCATTCCGGTTCTCCAATATGCGAAGTTGATCCTATCACCCATCGAATGGACTACTTCGGCCCCATGGTCAATCGTTCAGCACGGATTGAACAGAGTGCGCAGGGCGGGCAGATCATGTGTAGTGCGGAGGTTATCAAGGAGCTAGAGGTGAGTAGGGCGATGGACTCTGAGGCGGAGGTTGATCCTTCCGATCCGTTATATGAGGCTTTGGAGGGTATTCGCCGTATGGGGATGGTTGTTGTCCCTGTAGGCGAAGTGAAGCTAAAAGGTCTGGAGACACCTCTGACCCTTTCTACAATTTACCCATCTGAGCTGGAAGGAAGGAAGCAGCTTCAAGCGAAGCCTGCTTCTTCTAATCCTTCCGGTTCTCGTGTTCAGTTCAGCATCAGTCAAATGTGCGACCTTGGGATGCTCTGCCTCCGTCTTGAGGCCCTAGCGACCGGGCGTATCTTCCGTAAGGTCGAGGAGGAGCCAACGCCGGAAAGGAAGCAGAGTTCAGCATCCATCGAAGATGCCGAAGACGTCCCTCCCAAGTATCTGTATGGCGATCCTGACATGCTTCTTCCATCCATGAATGACAGCATGTCGGGTACTGATCTCATGTTGCTGCTGGATTCCATGGCTGGAAGGATTGAAAATGCGTGCCGGGCTATCATGGCGCCACTTACGGAGTCACCAGCTGCTTCACTGAAAGCCTCCTGGCGTACGGCTCTAGCTGCTAAAGGCGGGTTTGATGAGGAGACGCTGAATATGATTTTGGGTGTGTTAAATGATATATAGCTGTGTTTTATTGTTATCTCGCTTTCTCAATGCTCGGTACATAAAGGAGACATTTCGGTTTATTGTAGTCTAGTTGCAGCATCCACCATGTCTTTATTACTGGTATCATTACAATCATATACAGTAACATTTACGAGAACTTTTTCGAAGACTTCCGAGTAATGTCGAAAAAAGTGTCGAGGCTTAATAAGGCACATGAAATTATTTAGCAATCGATTACATGACAATCAACATTATTAGTTCTTATATCAGACCGAACACCCCTGACAATGACCCTTCTATTCCCAAAAATGGCAAGGCCTTATAGCTGAGTGTCCGAGTTGTTGAGGTCTAGCTATTGAGCAAAATCAATCACTGAAGTGAATATAAAAGTTGTATATTCACCTTTTCAATTGCCACCTTGGCTATATATCGAGTCATTGAATTTGAGCCTGGGCCGATCTGACTAGGTCTAGGAGATCCGGGATCACTTAAGTAAGCCGGGGAAGGAGATTGGTGATCCCTCGCATGCGCTACAAGTTGCATGAGTTGGTGCTCCTGCACCTCAATGACATTAGGTCAGACAAGCCTTCAATGCCTCCTTTCATGGTCTGGACATTTTGAGAAAGTTGCATGTATTCATGGCCCTGTTGTTTCACCCTTGAGGTTTCTTTTGTCAAGAACAAATTCTGGACAATAAAAGTTGGGTTGAAATTGGAGGTCTATGGCATGCTCATTACAAAACCCATCAATCTTTATCATCTTAAAGCTGAAGTCCTCAACTTCAACAGCTGGATGCATTTTGAATGGAAACTACAATGTTTTTGAGAAATGCTTACAACCTACAACTGGTCCATGGAAGTGGGAAGTTATGATGGAGGTTCAGAAAGACATTCAAGTAGTCCAATGCTTGAATATTCCTAATGCTATTCTCAAATATTGAGTTCTGACACTCAATATTGCCCTTTCTGACAGTAATGGCTATGTCTTCTTATATTGAGTGTTTGTGGTATATGCTCTTTGAAACCCTGGTGGTGATAGCACCAAGTTCTGGCTATCACTTGCAAATTTATGCAACTCTTCTCCTCATAGATGATCCATAGCTGGTGACCTTAACTCTACTGTTTTGTCTATTGAATGTGCATCTGCTGGAGATGACAATCAGCAGTACTTTCAGGAATTTCTTCAATAAACTAATGGCTGTGACCTATGGCAAAAGAATTCTGACAGGTCAGCATGCCTAGACTGGATATGCTAGGCCAAGGATTGTAATAAAGGAGATAACATCATTGATTATGTGATCACCTCTGGTCATAGTATACTTAACAGTCATATTTATGCAGCTGCTTCACTGGAGGACTACACACTAGTTATAGACTACTAACCAGTATGCACATATATTATTCTGATGTCAGACAATGAGACATTTATCACACATGAGATGTTTGATCCAAAGCCTAGGGTCTCTCATGTCTGATACTCCAAGGATGACAAGAAATATCTGTTTCAAGACTTATGAGACTGAAATAAAGAAGATAGCTGAAGAATTGAGTCTGTTTGAGATAGAAGTCAATGATAAAGCCTTTTGGGTTTACCTTTATTAATAACTAATCAGAGTAATAACTAACTGTGTATCATGATTTTAGCCTCTAAATCATGGCTGCCTTGGCTTATGATCAGAGACTGATTATGCTCAGCTGTCTTGGCTGGGTTTGAGGCACTGAGACATGGGCTTTGTACCTGATCACCAAGACTTTTCTATACAGTATATAAGTCAGTAGTATACAATATGCTTCAGTCTCAAGCTAAGGTCAATATACTAATCAAACTCCTAAACTCTTGATGTGACTACCACTTTAGTATCAATATTGGCAGTTGTAGCCTATCAACTCCTATACCTCTCTCCTCTTATCATCATCTCAAAACATCATTACTCTCATCCTCTTGCTTTATCTTCAGTTAGTGTCAGACTCCAGCTGTTGCAGTGCATTGCATTTATAATTGTTTGGTTGTCATCTGACATGTCCAGAGTGATCATGATAGCTAGCAACTCCTTGTCATAGTTGTACTCTGTGGTAGACAGCACCTTAGATAAATATGTGATAGGCTTTCACTGTCTGTTCTGCTTCTTACTGAAAATAGCCTCAAGAGCTTCTTCTGATATGTTAGCTTCTATCTTGAATTTTCCTTCATCTACAAAAATAGCTAAAATGAAATCAGAATAGATTCATTGTTTGATCTCTTAGAATATCTGCTCTTATGTGTTCTCCTATTTCCACTCAGATTTCTCAGTGACTTTCATCAATGGTAGAGCTACCTTGCTGTATCCTTTAATAAATCATTAGCAGAAGTTTGCAAATCATAAAAAAGACTACAGCCCTCATTTCTTGGTAGATGTCAGCCACTCTCATACTTCTGCAGTCTTTACTGGATCTATTTGCAATCTTCCTTCTATGATGATGAGGCCAAGATACTCTGTCTTGAAGATTTTGAATTCATATTTTTCTGGCTTCAGATATAATGTTACAATTTTCTTTCTTTCTCCTTTCTTTTGACCCTTATTTATACTTAGTCAGGGCACCAGAACAGGCACTTAAGATCATGGGACAAAAGGCTTAGTCATCACAACTGGCCAAGTCTGCCATTGTCTCTCGATACAACAGTGCTGCCCAACAATGCAACCAGCCCTTTTATGTATGGTAGTGATGCTCTAAGACAATGGACACAAAAGACAGAGAAACATATAATAAGTATGTAGTATTATTAGTGGACCCTGTACAGTATTTAAGAAGCTTGCTCTTGCTGGTAAATCCTCAGCTTTGAGCTAAAGTTTATATATCCTCATTCTACTCTTGAGCAAATCACACAAAGCCTTGAAGCATAGGAAATCAACAAACAGCACACTGAGTGAACTCTAACAGAAGGCTCAAACATGAAGCCATATTAGTTTATCATGTGCTAGTTGATCACATGTGGCTTGAGCCTAACAATTAGCTTAAAGCTATCACCTTCCCTTTCTCAAGCCCAATTGTGCTGAGAAACTGAATGCCTCTAGCAACCACTGCTGATCTCAATCATGACTTCTTTGAGTTGATAGCTTCTATTGTTGGAATGCTACTAGGGCTTCTAGCTGTCATCACTCTTTGCTGCAGACAACAATCAGTAACCACTTGGATAGTCAAGCACTATCAAGCTTTTCAGCAGATACATACTATTCTTCAAAATATAACCTCAGATCTATCTCTTCATGATATCTCCACCTCTATTAGAATATCCTTCCAGCTGCAAGGACGACTTATATCTGAAGCTGAGCCTAGCAACTCATCTTCAGAGAGCCTTCAGGAAGAAGAAGGACCCTGATACCCTTCTCAATGATCCAGCAGAAACTGTGATCCTGTTCTCATAGAGTTCCAGAACCTCTGGACCACAAATATCACCAGAAACCCAAAGAGATCTCCAGTGGTATCCATCCAAATACTCCTACCTCCAGCCATCCTGCCTCTCTGAACATCCCAGGGATTGGAAACCATGCTTGAGACTCTCTTGATGCTGCTCATATGGCTTTGAGACTCCAAACAATCCCCAACTCCCTCCACCATTTCCTCTATACTACCTCTGAGTCAAGCCCATCTATCAGCAGGCTAGAGTTTGATGACCCCTATGGATGAACTATCCACCAGGATTTTGTGAACATGGAGCTTGCCATTGCTGCAGCAGAGGACCCTTATAACTATCTCCATATCAGGAGTCAGCCAGGGGAGGAAACAGCTAGCACAAGAGGAAGAATTGCCTGAGACAGAATCATTCAATGAGTTTTCTCAGACTGAGATCTTCAGATCCCCTTTGACTATAATGCAGCAGTATAGCAGCAGCAGCAGAATCAGACCCACCAAGCAGAAATACAGTGAGTCCAGGAGGAGCTTGCTGACTATGTCCAGGCAGAGGCTCAGTGAGAATATGAAGAAGCAGAGTATGACAGACAAGGGTGCCAATAATGATGATGAGAAAAGGCCAAAAGATTGAAATTGGCCTCTTCCAGCTGGTATGGACTTTGAACAGACTCCTCAGGATCCCCTTTCAGAGAGCCTGACTCAGAATCCAACCCATGGACAGGACCAGGAAGTGCTGTCACCAGAAGTGAAGCTATCAGAAGAGAGCATGCTGCAGAAGAAAGTCACTCTCCTTTCCTCTAATACCCCACTAGAACAGATACTATTTCCTCTGATGCCGACTCTATCCTTGGAGCTTACAGGCTCTAGGTACCTGACAATACTCACATCTCTGACCATACCCTCCACCGATTCTTAGAGAGTAGAGTTGTCCACTAGTTTCTTGATCCTAGGTTCTAAAGAAACTTCAGCCTCTATAGCCAAGAACTGGTGGAAGGAAGAGTGCATGATAGAATGTGATACAGCTGACTTCCAAATGTCCCCATCCAGTCTACAGCCACCAGGCCTGACCCAAACACAGCTGGATCTAATGTCAGAAATGATGACAGGCTCACCAGCAATGCTAAAACCAGCTATCCCATCTATCTATGACCTGCCCATCAGTTTCCTCCTTGAGGAAGAGAATAGCAGAGATGAGAGTGATGAGGAGGACAGTGAAGGCCCTTTTAGACCTGAACAATTTATGGAGTATGTGGGTAAAGAAACTGATGAAGAAGCATTGAAGGAAGAAGTGGACAGAGAGCAGAGAAAGGAATACCAAGGACTATACAAGCAAGAAACACTCTTTTTATGGAGGGACACCTGCTGGAGGGTTACACCCTTAGGACAGAAGTATAAGTATGCAAATGATACTGAAAAAATGAAAATTTTACAGTATGCTGTGACCAAGTATATCTGGGAAGAATACAGCCAATAGTATCCAGAGGACTCTTTCAAGCTGATGCCTCTGTATCAAGACAAGAATCGACCAGGACCAATACTGAGATTCCCATCTGTTCCACTAAACTGGGCTGTATATATGGCACCATCTATTCATAGCAATGCTAAAATGTTGGACTCATCAATCTGAAGTATGGTAACTTGGCTCACCAGAACCTGATACCAACCAGACTCTTCAGCACTATGGTATGAAGGATTCTGGAACCCCTAGACTGGAAAAGAGAGCTGGCTTCTTGATGGACAGCCACTCTCTGACTAAGCAGAGACTAGTGGAGCAGGAAAGGAACCAGTATGAGATGATCCTGAGGCTGCCTGTCTTGGGTTCACCATACAAGACAG